CTATGTACCCATTTGTAAAAGGGCTGGCTGAAAAATCTTTGCTGAAACAATGAAGTGGTATTCATGCTAACTGGAAAGGAAGGCTGCTGAAAAACAACTATGGTCCAAGCCAAGGAAGTATTTTACTACATTTGCAGTAATTGTGCTGATAATCTGCTTCATTAATTACTAGAATATAAGGCACAGCTCATCTTATGGGCTGTGTTAGAAGGAGCTGCAAATGCAGCAGAAAAAACATGTAAAAAAAGCAGATGGAGCTCGTCAAAGCTGGGAACCTTGAAGTCAAGAAAAATGTTTCAGCACTCTGGACAGAGCCTGAGCAACAACAGTTTATGCCAGAGCTGCTAAGTCACAAGCAAGCACTTCTGTAATTGAAGGTAAGGAGTATAAAACCTTAAAAGAGGCAGTCTTCCACCAGGATCCAAACAAACTGCCATCTCTCTCTCTTGAATCTATGTAAGTCTGTTAATACAATATTATATATGCTTTTAAGAATATACATTTGTTTGTTATTACAGAATAGAGGTGACTTTGAAAATATACAGCATCAACTGTAAAACCTGAACTTAGTCCGCAAAAACAAGAAAATGCAAGAAGGAAACTAAACATTGTCCTACCTTGATTCTCTTTGGTATGAGGAAGACAAGATGAAATACTGTCAGGCTTTCAAGATGATTACTATAAACTATGTCAATAGACATCTAATATTTCGTGATGCGATCTATTTCCTAACCTGGCCTACCTTGAAGGGATGACAGCTAATGAGGTGGATATTAACTAGATGGCCTCTATTTCCTTTTATTTGTGTGTCTGTGGTTTCTTTGCTATATGTGTTTAATTTGTATATTTTTATTGTTTTCATTATCATCTCCAGGCATCCATTTAATGACTAAATATGACATGAAGTTTTATCAAACTGTAAGGATATATATCTCATTTGCATATTTTATTGTTATAGTATCACACATGAATCAAAATAATCTCAAGAGGAATAAATTAACAATAATTAATTATCTGTAGTAGAGTATTACTATGAATCAGAACCTATATGAACCTTCCTGTCTTTTTATGCCTATCATACATGAGAAGGCTCTCAAATGATTAACATATACCAGGCTAGGAAACAGAAGCATGCACTGAATTTTTAAAGTGCAATCAGAAACTCAATTCACATATGAGCCACTTCCTATCAATTTCTTCCTTTCCCCGATGTACATTTTAATCCAAAGTTTTGCAATTTGCTAACCAAATTAATATCCCGATTATATAACTGCATTGCAAGGTACTATTTTAATGGGTTGTCTTCCTAATTAGTGCAGAGTAGGAAACTGCTATGCAGCAATCCAGGAAACATCAACAAGAGGGAGCATGTGCAGATCTTGCTTGTTCTAATATAGTTGGAATTCCAATGTCTGAACTGTAAATGTATATAGGAAGGGTTGTGAGCCTTGAGCCCTGTGTTACTTAAATCTAAAGTTGATAAATATTGGTTTATTGCATATATATGCTGCTGCAATCCAAATAAGAGTTGTGGTGGATGTTTGAACACTTGAGGACTAATGTAAGCATAATTCATTTTTTTTCCATTCCTCCTCCCAGAAACCCACTAATTTCACTTCTTGACAGACCAATCCTTATACCAAAACATAAATGATTGCTTCACATTAAAAAGTTATGTCTAGAACCAGGAATGTTGAAAAAAGCATTCAAGATGGCTAAGTAGAGATTAAGAATATTCACACTCCTGTAAGTGAGGCCAGTTCCAAACTATTACGTGTACACTCACTGTCTTGATCCCTGCTCAGGAATATTCAGCATCAAACTCTGAAGGCTTGAAGAAGACCACACATAGTAACTGCTTCATATATAACCTTAAGACAATCATTTTAATTACTCTGTTGAACTAGCTTCAAGTTGCCTGATTCACAGAGTACTAAATTATAACATTATTCAAATGTTAACTACACATCAAAACTTTTGAGCCAATTCTGCTTCTAAGAGATCTTTGTCTGAAATGCCACTTTTAATAAAATGTATTTCACCCGGGTCAAATTTAATATTGCAGTTAGCAGGGGAAGCTGAAACGTAGATGTAGTAATAAATGAAATAAATCCATATCATGGTTAGCAGGAAACTTTTATTCAACATAAGCACATTACTATTTTAAAAAGTATTTTCTAAAATAAAATTCCCAAACCACAACATAGCATATTTTTTACAGTACTTGTCCTAAACAACGCTTGTGAAGGCCTCGGGAATCCAGGACCTGCTGAAAACAAAATGCACAGGCAAGCAGTTTCTACGTACAACATAAGTAGAAGTTTTGCAGAGATTACAGTGAATAACCAAACTCCTATAGAAGTACCTATGCCAGGAGTCTTCAAACTTGGCCCTTTTATGACTTGTGGACCTTAACTTCCAGAATTCCTCAGCCAGCCATGAAGTCCACAAGTCATAAAAGGGCCAAGTTTGAAGACCCCTGACCTATGTTATTAATGATATGGGCAAAAATCTCAACTCATTTAAATCCACAAAGTCTCTACTGTGTTACCAAGCCTCCATAGAAATTGCTCATGAGTAGTTCCATGGATTCTCATCATGGTGGTAAGCTATCTGTAGGGTTCAACCACACTTAAAAAGGAGCTTAAATAATTAACTTTGGCCAAAGGGGGGGGGGGAATCCTCTATGCTGACAATTAACATACTAGTGGATTTAGTTTCCTACCACCAGGATGCTAGTTTTCTATATGAAAATATAGAAATATGAGATAGATAAAGAGATTTGATAGACAAGGTAGGCTCTCCATTTTGTAGTTTGAAGTAACAGATAGTCCTCGACTTACAACGGTTCACTTAGTGACCATTCAAAGTTACAACAGCTCTGGAAAAAGTGAGTTATGACCATTTTTCACATTTACAACTGTTGCAACCTCCCCTGATCATGTGATCAAAATTCAGATGCTTGGCAACTGACCCATATTTATGACAGTTGAATGTCCCAGGGTCATGTGATCACCTTCTGTGATCTCCTGACAAACAAAGTCAGTGGGGAAGCCAGATTCACTTAACAACCATGTTACTAATTTAAAAACTGAGGTGATTCACTTAACAACTGTGACAAGAAAGGTTGTAAAATGGGGCAAAATTCACTTTAACAAATGTCTCACTTAGCCACATACATTTTGGGCTCAATTGTGGTCGTCAGTGGAGGACTATTTGTAAACATTTGTGAACAAAACATTTAAATAAATCATGTAAAAACCACAAAGCTTGACCATAGTACCTGCAGACCAGTGTTCCCATGAGAAAAGGTATTTTGGCACCACGAATCCATTTGCCTAAGCAAAATAGATGGACGTATCGTTAATATTCTGCCGTGAGAGGCAGATGAGAAAAATCAGATGGGCAGCAAATTAAACTGGTCATCTTAAAAAAAAAACTATGTAATCAAGAAAGGGCTTCCTCCATCTTCTATATATTTCTCTATGCAATAATATTACTCATTGGCGTCTCTTCTGGGTAGGTTGTTATTTACAAAACATTTGACAGCATTATTCATGCAGTGGACGGGACAAAAGCAAGAGGCAAGCCTCAACTGAGATTTGTATGGACATTATTAAGATAATCAGCAGAAACATCCAGTGCATCTAATCCCAATGCTGTGAACACCCCAGAGATATTCTGCAGAGGCTAGTCCCTAATTCATATAGAGAGACAACAAGGGTTTCAGCATCAACAGCCTGCATTGCAAATTTCTCCAGAAAAAAAAAGGGTCTGTCATTCCAATTGGAAATAATCTGTGTGCATCTGCAATACCAAGCTGCATCCTTCAGGGGTAGAAAACACTAGAAACAGCTTCTGAGCTATTACTTTTCAAGGTGAGTCACTTTAAATCACATCCACATGGTTCTGCCCAAGGAACAGGCTATTTCATAGGTGTTGATTTTCCATGTGGGCTTGTTTATGTGCCATCAGGATATAATTAAGGCAAGTAAAATAGACCATACAGTGAAAGCCAAAACCTTAGCAAGTATATACTTACAGCCTTAGCAAGTATATAGAGTACTCACAGATCAGTCACTGCATGCAGTTTTGAGCAATTTTTATGTGACAGTTTTATAATATTATACCACTACTACTACTAAGAATCAATCTGATTTTCAGAATGTTTCTCACATTTTTTTTTCTGTGTAGCATATAACAACTAGGATCATCCATAGCGAGGTATCTGCAGAACTAGGTACCTATTTTGTCATACCCTAGATCAGGGGTAGGCAACCTTGGCTCTTTTATGACTGGTAGACTTCAATTCCCAGAATTCCTGAGCCAGCAATGCTGAGGGGAAAGGGAGAGTTTCCAAGCTGAGCTATGCTGGCTCAGGAATTCTGGGAGTTGAAGTCCACAAGTTATAAAAGAGCCAAGGTTGCCTACCTCTGCCCTAGATTAATTGAAACGGAGTGACAAACAAAAGCTCTGCTGGATCTAACAATTTTTCCATTCTTCACAATAGCCAGTTAGGCATTTTATAAGCAAATGGCTTATTGCAGTAAGAAATATTCAGTGCATCTTGCTGAAGCTGAAAGCTTTGTAGAGTAAATTTGGGTACAGATAGTACCCAGTATCAGATTGAAGCCATCTAAGTTAATAGCCAGCACTGTATCACGGTATCATCTGGCAACAAATCCCATAAATTGTGTATTAGGTTAAGGAGTACTTCCTTTTATATATTTCACTGTTTCTTGGGATGACCTTGTGTTGTATCTTCCACACCAGGCATAATTTTGTAAATCTGCATGTGAAATGTATCATATGTGTTAAAATTCCAGTACCTTAATCTAGAAAGAGACATCTGTGTACAGTATCAGTCTTGCACACAAGCAGTGCTGGAGTGATTCCCCCGTTCATTATCTGTACCAGGCCTTAATTAAGTTGTTGCAAACATCTTTTAATGGGAGTTCTCCAATACTGTAATTACTAATAATTAGATTTGGCACAAGGTCTAGTTTAAAACTCATTTATTCCTTCACTGAAGTGTATTATTTATTGTTATTATTATTAAATTAAATTTGTAAACCACCCAACTCCCAACAACCTAAAAAAAGCAGCTATGCTCTTCCAATAATAGGATTTTTGGATCACAATAGTTTTTGTAAAAGTAAAATAAAAAACATTAAAATAGATACAGAAGCTCTAACTTGAAAGATCAGTAAATACAACATCAGAATGAAGCCACAGCTTAATACAGAACATCTAAAATTTGCAAGTGTCAAGGGTCTTCTGTGTCCTGCACTCGTATGATAATAGGTATTGAAGCCCCCACTGCTTTCTCCATGTTATACCATATATCAGTTTATGTATTATAAAGAACTCCATAATACTGTAACCAGAAGTAAAGCTGACAGTTTGCTTTTATTCCAGTAACAGAACTGTAACTTTTTCTTGTTAAAAAGATGTATGCATATTTCTTATCCAAGATTTGAAATATATTCTGCATAGAATTCATAGGGCCCTATTTATATAGTAATAATTATCTGGCTACAAATATAGTAGCAGCTATGAATGTTAAATATCAAACATTCTTATGGAAAAACCATTTTTCCAAATGGTGAGTGGAAGTAATATTTTTATAAAAATGGTTAAATTAATTAAAGCATAATAAAGAAACAAATCAACAGACTTAGGCTTGTTTCTATATCCTTTGACTCAGTTCCAAACATTTTGTCATTTTTTACAACTATTAAATGCAGAACAAAGTTGATATTTTAAAGGAACAGGGCAATCATGATAAGAAACTACGAAACAGCAAACAGTGCTCTTGTATCAAACTGTACTGAAATACATATTATAAATCCAATTCTAACCCTATTTGAGCTCTAGATCTGAGAACACAGAAAAAATAGGAAGAGTTTTACAAAATCTTCAGCATGTCTAAATGTGTAATGTTATGTAATGCAGCATAGGATCTGAGGCGTAGTAGAGCTTCCATTCAGTTCTATGAGAATTTATACAGGGGACAATAAAATGACTAATCTGGAAACAACAGTTATGATAGTGATTTCCCCAAGGCCTCTCAAATCTTCAGAAAGCATTCAAATAAATTGACTCGTGCATCCTTTATATATGATTAAAAAGGGTTTTTCTTGACAATCAATTTCGAAGTGTATTAAGAGAATATAAGGAGTCTACTAATGAAGATCTGAGTCTGTGCCTGGGAAACATGGTTAGCATTTAATGGCTTGGACACAGGCACAGCATCACTAACTATTTTAGTATAGCATGCATGAACTGCAGTATGTTACCTGATAAACCCATTTCACCACACTTTGCAAAATCTACAACAAAATCAGTGCCTGTTTGCATTCAAATATTTATATAGAATTAGTACATGTTCTTATTCCTGCATGTTATTCTTTAATATTATCAACTGACACAAAGCATTATAAAAGCATATGAAACATACCAATCCTTTCTCTGTTCCTAAGCATCATTTCAACTGCTAGCTGAATACACTAAATCCCACAAGGGAGAATTGCTGCCTACTTGCATTTCAAGATCCACCCAAACCTGCAGCCCGATTCACTCTGATTTTATATCCTAATATATTGGGTACAAATCAAATGTATTACTGTTGTGTCCTATTCAACACTCAGCCATTTTCAACTTGTCAACATTAAATCTAGCAGATTTCTAACAGAGAAGGATGGATGATTTTAAAAAGCACCAAAAAGCATATACTATAGTATAGCAAAATGTGCTAGACTGATTATATGGATACCTAGTTGTCAGGCCTCTAAATATGAATGCTGATACCTGAAATGTGGACTATTTTGCAGTCCTACTCACATATGATGACTCTTTACCACGATAGGAGTAACAAGGAAAAACATACGAAATAAAAAATACAAACCACTATATAGTGCTTCAAAAACAAAAAACATTCACATACATACTGTATATACACACATATGCAAGTGATTAACAAATGATAAAATTTAAAAGCTTCTCCCATAATAAGTTTATCTGAAAAATATTGCAACTGCACTGCATGCTTTTTCAGAACAATGAGAAGATATAATGCTTTCCTTTTAAACATTTATATCTGTGCTATTAATTGTACCGACAGATATGCATCCTTCTGAGGTCTACAATGAAAATGGCCAAAATATAGACAAGTTGGAAGTCTCAATTCAGGACACTTTTGCTAGTGTTTGTGTTAGTTTTCTATTTGCATCTAGGAAGCAAAGCAATATTTATGCAACTGTGCTTAGGAATATGTCAAGAGGAGTGATAGTCCGCACTGTTTTTTATGTTTTATGCTGGACAGAGATTGTAGAAGATGAAAAGACATGGTCATCAAGATAAACTCTAAGTGAGGACCATGAAGAAACCAGAAGGGTAGAAATCAAACAGGTGGAATAGGAAAAGGAGACCAGTGCAACAATGGCTCAGCCTCTGTGAAAAGACTCTAGAAGCCTGAAATAGAGATGAAAGTTGGTTAGCTAGCAGTGGGGTTTAGGGCAAACGTAGCTACTCTTGTACTATGTACAATGACCCAAATGCATCCTAGCTACTTTTTATTTAAAAACCATTACGTGCATGGGCTTTCAGAAGTTGAAGACTCCAAACCATTTTATCTAAAAGGCTGTAATACAGCAACGTACATCAGGGTAATACAGCAGATGTCTTTTAAAATAGCATACAGAGCATATCCTGCTGGTCACCCATTTTTATTATCAATCACTTCAAAATATTATATATTTCAAAGTTTCTTGACATAACAATTCAGTTCATAAATTATCATTCTGCTGGTTGTTCACAGGAAAAACAGGAAAGTGAGCTCAAAGGGAAAATGCATCTCATTTAAATCAAGTTTAGGATATTCCAGTGATTCTGGAAGAAAAATGAGAAAGGATTATTCTACACAAAGAACAACTTAAAGGGGATTTAACCAGCATACAAGTAGTCTTTGGGTTCTGATGGCAATTGGGCCTGGGTAGGGGGTGCTGCAGGATGGTGGAAGAGCGGAAGCGATTTACTGGAGCAACTTCCAATCTTTTCCTGCTGGCTTCCCTATGAAGTCAACAGGAAAGGTTGCAAATAGCAATTCCGTGACATGGTTCCGTGATGTTGTATCACGAGCCAGACACCCAGAAGCTCAGATTGCAGTCATGTGACAAGAGTGGTACAATAGCCAAAACTTCTTGACCAGTCGTATTTTCATTTTTTCAGTGCTGCCTGAACTCTGAACAATCATTGAACAAATGGGTGTAAGTGGAGGATTACCTGTATTGTGCTTGATTTTTTTTTTTCTAACAAGTAGCTGTTGGGAAAATGATCCCTCTGTAGCACTCAGGTTACCCAATCCATACCAAACATCTATTCACTCCATTCAAAACATCCATGCTGGAGTGACAAAGTCTGCTTCTTCAAAATACTGCAATTAGAACGTTTCCCTGTTTAATACAGAAATTCTAGTACAATGGATACTTCCAAATATGAAGAGGTTAGTAACAAAAGTAAGCATTTTCAGTAAACAATAACATTTTGCACATATCCACAATGTTTGTTCGCTTTGAGAACAAAGAAGCAAGGGTGCGTCATAACTCTTTGCACACCAATAGAAACATTACTAGTATAGAAATCTCAACACTGATTACATTTGCATTTTTATATAAACATGATTTGCAGGATATATTGAGTAATCAGATAATATTGACATGTCACATAATACTGAGAGACATTTATTGCCAGTCAAGGCATCTGATAAAAATTGTGATATACTCTGGAGTCCAACAGATTAGAAAACAGAGCTAGTTGCTAATAGAAGAATTGCCTGCTTTTAGTACCGTCTCATATGGCATTTTTTAAAAAGCTGTTGGGAGTGGTGATGATTCTTTCAGATGGTGGATCGATTCTGGCTCCAGAGTCAGTTCTGCTGGGTCACAGGCGGATCGGGGTTTGATGCATCTATGTGGATAGATAAAGCTGCTAGAACACAACAATAAACAGCGAAGAAAATGAAGTGAAAAGTAATGCCAAACAGATTTTTAAAAACCTACCATTTTTAATATCAAGATTTATGTGCCAAACCCCACCATTTAATCATTCCTGTTGTTACTAATTAATTTCCTTTCAACCATTAATTTGTTTTCAACCAGTCTAGGGTGGGGGGTGGAGGCAAACTACTAAAATAGTTCAAGTTTCTACAACAATATTTCATTGTCTGCTTGATATTTTTTTAAAAAAATGTAAACTTGCAAGCTACACTTCATGGATATATGTTTTACTCTCTGATCAATATATTCTGTCCAGTCAGTCACTACACAAACAACAGTAAAACATCATTTTGCCAGACTGCAAAATGCAAGAAGAAAAAAAATCAAACCATTCACATCTCCTATGAATTAACTCACTCTAGAATAGTGTTTCTCAACCTCTGCATGCTGCCAGGAGAATTCTGGGAATCAAAGTCCACACATCTTAAACTTGCAGAGTTGAGAAACACTGCTCTAGAGCTTTTGAAAATCACTTCTCAACTCACACTAGAAAGCTCTAATAGTTACAGCAAGTCTTCCTGTTATTAAACATTGCGGTAGTGAAACACACTGATCAATCTGTTCTTCCTGCTTTATGTATTAATATATCCAGGGTTGTGCTTGTTTTGTGCCAAGTTGGAAAAACTGAATTTTGTACCCAAAATAATCAAAATTATGTGATGAAACTGTAAGGAACTATCTATGGTCTTCTCTGCTCCAAAGATCATTCAAAAACATCTACTGCATGTAAAAAAGCAGGATAAGTTCCTTGTTGAATCTACTTTACAAACAGTAATAGGATTCAGACTAAAGACCATAAATATATTCTAGGCAGTGTGGAACAATTTGTCTGCCAAGAGAATGAGACAAGATGGAAGAAACTCTTCAGGCTGTTGGTGAGGCAACCTAACCCATGCTCGGTGCCTATCCATATCACAGGAAAGGGATCAAAGCAAGAACCAGCAATGTATTTTTTAATCCACCGAGAAGATAATTCTATTCTATATTCTATATTCTATTCTATTCTATTCTATTCTATTCTATTCTATTCTATTCTATTCTATTCTATTCTATTCTATTCTATTCTATTCTAAGAAAAGTCAAAGATGGGTCAAAATCATACAGATAGAGATAAAGGACCATTCAGTGTCTTCAAAATTACATCACTGAACAATGAACAGATACAGTAGGATAAGCATAAACTGGGAAGAGACAGTTCCATAAATAAACCAGTCCTAAGCTATGAAGGGCTTAGCCCCCCTCTTCTGGCCAGATCCTTACAGCCTGATGGCTCCAGAAAGCTGGATTGCTGGGAACCTTGATCTCAACATGGTGAAGGTTAAAGGCAGGTTTGTTTGCAATAAAGCCAACCACAAATTGATGGTGAATGAGATAGCAGACTTTGGGGGCACACATTTCTGAAGCCTGGTCAAAAGTCAAGAGTGTCACCTTGTCTAAAATCTGATCAGCTGTGTAACAAATATTTTATCAGATTTGAAGGCAGCCAGGAATGTGGGTGGGGATACCCACTAATTATATGTAGCCAAAGTTTCTGCTCTCGAAATTCTGAGGTGGGAGTGACTATCTGTTCTGCTGGGACGCAGAGAAGTTTGATATATCAGCCATCCTGTTGCCCAGCAGGCTTCCTCACCAGACTGCTAGAACTGGTCTCTGGACTGGTGTAGAGAAGCGCTTCCGATGAGGGACTTCAACCTCTTGCCCTGACTCCAGTAAGGTCTGGGAGTTCATGGCCTCCATGGCAATCATGAGTTTCTCTCAGGTAATCTCAAGAGTTAATAAAGATGGGTAGTCTTATATTAGACTTCGCCAGCAGATGTGGTAATGAAGGAATTTTCTACTTCCCCACTGCTACACCCATTTATCTGAATGGGCGTGGTTTTTTTTTTTGCAGGAAACCACCAAAAATGGCAAACAATATCGTAAGTCATGTTCATGTGACCACAGAATGCTGCAACCAGTCATAAAGCTGACTCACCCGATGTATAGTCATATAACTGCAGGGAGCAGTGTGACCATTTACAATAGCCAAGGTATGTTTTATGGGTCATAAAGCACCCATTCCATGGTCATCGTAACTTCAAGCAGTTGTAAAATGACCCATCTTTAAGCAAGGATTACCCGTATCCAAGACATCAAGAAAAGAAAAGAAAATAGACAGGTCCCTATAAATAGTATGCCATTACATTCAATCAAGGTTTTAAAAGAGGGAGTATTGTAGACTGAGGCTTTCCTTTCCACCATAGAATGAGGACAGCATCTTCACTAGACTGAGTATTACTATCTAAATTCAGTCAAAATTCAGCAAAACTTTCCGTAGATGGGGGAGGGAAAGGGTCTATGACAGAGGAAGATTTGTTGCTGCATGTTTAAGAAAGAAGCAAAATTCATCACAATGACAGGGCAGAGTGTTGGCAGAGATTTGAGCTATTTATTCTTTTAGGAAAATCCTATAAAGAATGACATGAGGAAGCCTCTATCTGCAGTCTTGTTCATCACATTGGTGAGGAGTCTGATAACAGATGTATGCAGTAGCATGATTTAGTGCCGGGAGCTGGACCCTGATGTGTATTAATACAGCAGCAAAGCGGAACGAGCTTCTCTTCATCACTCATCTCTATAAAAGAGGTGGAATCCGAGATGGCCTGATGTTAGGCAGAGCAAGCTCATTTGTTCTGCTGACTGATGGAGCCAGCTCAGGCTGTGTCCTTCACCTCTGTGGGGCACTCAGGTTGCATAAAGGAGTTCACTGAAGCAGGACCTGGTCAACAAGTGCGTTGAGAGCAATGGAGCTCAGCCGGAGATCTACGCTGAAGGTACATCCTTGCCTGTGTAGACTCCCAAACTGAAACCTGGCTCTGAATTCTGATTCATGGCAATCTTTTGCTGAAGATGCAAGAATTCATCAAAAGAAAACTATATCTACAGTGAAAGAAAGTTGCCGTCCACAAGCTATTCAGAGCAACTATCCAATGAACGGTGACTGAAACCAAGCTGTATAGAGAAAAGAAAAAAGATTGTCCAATAACTAGGGATGCTGTCACACAAAATACAGAAGTGTATTTTGCTATCTTGGAATCACAAAGCAATCAATTACACTTTTAAAAAAAAGAAAGATTCACTTATGATCATAGAAGTCCCAAAAAATCAGAAACCAAAAGAGATCCCCAAGTTAGTTTTCCAGGTAGAGTTTATAAATTCTGTCTTGTCTGTCTTTCTTTCCTTGTACTCTGCTCCAGTGATCTGTAACTGGGTCTCTTTGCAGGGATTTATATACTGTTTGAATCTTGGCATTAGATGCTTTTGGGAGACTAAACTAAATGTGAGGGTTATTAGCCACATTTACTATCCATCCCTCTCTCTTATTCATACACTACTAACTACACTACTAACAAATAGTGGGTATCAGTAAAAACAAAACAAAAAAAGCAAAGTTTCCTGGTAGAAGACTATATGGAAATCAAAACAATTTACAATATGTGGGGGGGGGAGTTACTAAAGTTACTAAACGTTACGAACAATATATATAGACAGAGAGAAAGAGACACAGAGAGACAGAGACACAGAGAGCGAGTGAGTGTCAAATATGGACTTCTTAAAGAATATATAAAGTGACTCCAGATTCTCTGTGAGGTCCCTACAACTGAAAATGTTTTTTTTAATTTTCACCCCAATACTAAAAGCCTCATTAAATCTTAAAGAGTATGGCTTAGACAAAAATGTTTCACTTACTAGACTCTACTGCATTTGAACAGAAAAGAAATGAGTAAATCATTATATTGCGATTAGAACTAAAGGTACTATGTTCTAAGAAGAAATAAGTATCTATAATTATTTAATTTCAAACTGAGTTTAGTCTCCTTTTGAACTACATAACAACTAGATGGAATTTGACAGCCACACAATGGAGATGGGTTCTCTGTACCCCTGCTGTTGCTAAGATTTTAATCCTTCAACATTAGACATAAAAATGCATGCTGAAGAACTAATGTTACTTATGTGCCTATAAATATGGATTATACAAGCAATAAAATATTGCCAAAATACATTTATTTTATTGAAATTGTTATGTAAAATAATTCCTAGGTATATACCTATATACAGAAGAGGAGCCCCTTATATCTACACTTCATGTTGTTGTATTTTCAATCTTCTTCTTTTTTTCTATTTTTCCTTTATTTGATTAAACATAGCAAAACAGGGCATGGTGAATGGTTGTGAGCAGCTGAATCTTTCCCTGTTTTTTTCTCCAATGCCTGATAATATGAATATTTTCTTTTCTTCCCCAGCCTAAGCTACAGTGATTTGGAAAGAAAGAAATTAACCGAACCCAAAAACTTGTTCCTACCAAGAGGGTACTTAGAATCTCCATCTTATAGGAAATCAGTTGTATAGGTGTTGGCGGTAGCCCCAACAATATACAATTACTGAAAGCCATGATGGTGCAGTGGTTAGAATGTAGTATTGCAGGCTAACTCTGCCCACAGCCTGGAGTTCAATCCTGAACTGGCTCAAGGTTAACTCAGGCTTCCATCCTTCTGAGGTGAGTAGAATCAGGACCCAGATTGTTGGAGGCACTATGCTGACATTTGTAAAGTGCTCAGAGAGTGCTATAAAGCAGGGGTCTGTGGCATGCCAGAAACCATGAAACCAAGCAAAGCCTCATTTGCGGGATGCATGCTGCATGCGAAACCATGCTCCGTCCAGTTCACGGAAAAACCTCTCTCCACAGAACCAGTCCCTGGTGCCCAAAAGGTTGGGGGCCACTACTGTTAGCATTATGGAACAGTATATAAGTCTAAGTGCTATTGCTACCACCTTTGGTTTATTTGGCCTGCTCCTTGCTGATGCTTCAGAAAGTTATACAAAGATGCCTATCTTGACAAAAATTTGGGCACTAGTGATGGTGATTAGATTGCTTTTTTATTGGGGAGGGTTTTCATTGTGGTTGTGGTTGGGGTAGATCTGATTTATGAGGTGCTAGTTTTATGGGGAGTGACAAGATTTTATGTTAGGCATGATACTGTAAGCCATCTGAGTCATTGTGATTAAATGATATAAATCTAAGTAATATAAACAAACTTCAGAAGGAAAGATTTTAGTTCATCTCTCCATAATGTCTTTCTTTCACATAAGCTATACTCTTTTGATGCAGTTTGGCATGATCAAAATATAATAGCCTCTATCTCATCATTTTTTGCTCTAAAAGCAGAAATCTTCAGTTTACATTAAACGTTAGGCATCTGTACTTCTCTTGGATTCCCTTCAGACTCTCTCCCCAGCTCCATTCCTGAGCTGTTTTTGATGGTGATTTGAATTTCACCAGCAGAATGATAAAATTGGATATAACATGGATACAAATTTAAGTCTATCCTCAACCATGTAAACTCACTGAGCAATTTTGGGCCAGTTGCTCTTTCTCAGCCCCTTGTCCAATTCAACACTATTATACTGACAATCCTCAACTTAAGATAAATCACTTAATAACATTCAAGTTAGGACAGCCTTGGAAAAAAAAATACTTATGACCCATCCCAAAGTTATAACTGTCATACTATCCATAGTCATGGGTCTTTTTTTAAAAAAACAGGCACCTTGCAAAATAAATTATAGGAGTCTAAAATACGTGGAGGACACCAGATTGGGAAAGACTTGCCTAGATTCCCTTGGGATATCACCATGCTTCCTGTACCAAGCACATAAAAGCTAGCACTCTACTTTCAAACACAATATAATATTTCCTACTCAGCGTGATGCTCTTCAGTCAAAGTGCCCAAATACTGACATAAAAAAGCAATAAATATCCTGTTTTTCTATATCAAAATCTTTCTATGGAACCACAACTGGTGACTGGACAGGTTAATAATGCAATCTTAAAGGAAAACAAATTTTGTGGGAAGCAACACCACATTGTGCAATCCGGCTGAATTATGTAGAAGGAGTCAGGTTTGCATACATACAACATCTTTTACCATACAAAATAATTTATTTCCGTGAGTTACAAAACACAACATGCTATGAAGGCTTCAATTACTGCTGACAGCTGCGTTTTAATCAGGTACTTCTCAAACATTTGCAAACCAACAGTTACTGCCAAAAGGGCAGTATCCAATATTAAATTTGGCATTTGTGTACAACAAATGAAAAAATTATATAATATTCCCATCAGGTGCCTGCTTTTTAATATGGACAAAAACAGTTGAAAAGACAGATCTCTTAAAGTGTGGATCTTCTCATGAATTTCAAATAATTTCTCCTCCAAAACTGCCGCATTCCATTTCACTAACAACTGAAGCAAGTTTTAGCCCTTTACCTGAGGTGGGGCTGGAAAGTGAAGCTGTTGCCATCACCGGTTTGCGTTTTCTCTTGATGTCCCTTGAGCACGGTGGTCCCAGATGTATATTAGTCTGTCTAAAGAATGAATAAACTATACCAATTAGAAAAAGAAGCCAACAAGTATCACACTGATGGTCCTTTAGAAGGAAATGCATCAGCCAGATAATTTTTAATTAGAATTTATGGTGCGCTATTTTTAAAATATAACAATTCTTTTTATTTGATTGATTTGATTTATATACTGGTTCTCTGCTGAGGAGTGAAGCCAGCTAACAAAATTTAAAAAGATTTTAAAAAATCAAAAAAAATTCTATCCTGCTCTATGGAGTAGAGAATTGGTCTCTGACAGAAGGCCACCTGAAGAGACTAGAAGCATTTGAAATGTGGATTTACAGGTGGCTGTTACATGTAAGCTGGGTTGACAAGATCAGAAATTAGGAGGTGATAAGCCGCCTGGGAAAGTCAAGGGAAATCATCAAAACAATTAAAAAATGAAAATTAGAATATTTCGGACATGTCATGCGACACCCAGAAAAATACGGCATACTCCATTTAAATCCTCCAGGGAAAGATAGAAGGCAAACGAGGTCCAGGCAGAAGAAGAACATCATGGCTTCAAAATCTAGGGGGCTGGTTTTGACCAAACTCAGCAGCACTTTTTTGTGCGGCTGCTGATAAAAACAGGATCACCAACATGATCGCCAACGTCCGATAACGGATATGACACAAGAAGAAGAAGAAAATCAAAAACATAGGTGAAAGCTAACAATCTAAATAATAGTGCTAATAGTATACACTGTGGTAAAACCCTACAAAAGAAAGGGGACTTAATAGATATTCTATGTACTGAATGAGCAGGAACCAAAAGCAACCTCGGAGGGACTGGTTTCCCTAGCACACTTCCAAAGAGCAGAGATACTGTACATTTCCTACTCTGTGAAGAAACTATCAATGAATTTTGTTAGAGAAGAAAAATAGATTAAATATTTATAGTTAAATTATCTGGCTTGGAAAACATTCTTCCACATTTATGGCAAACTTTGCTAAAGGCAATTTAAGGGGGGAAATGCATAAAATCAAAGAACCCAGAAGAGTTACATGTATTTAACTATAGATAAAGGGCTAGGACAAAGGCTTCAGAAAGGAAAGAAGAAAAAATAGCCTTCACTAATTTATCTTTATCAAACAATAAATAAATGATTGACAGAGTTACAAAGTATTAGAAAGATTAGACCGTTTCCTGATGCAGTTGCCTGACCCATAGGAACTGGCTATAGGGCAATATCATAGACCAATCCATAATAAATGCGGATTTTAAAATTTTGAAAACATTTACGCCACAATAAAGTAGCACATTCAAGCCCTTTTACTTCAACAGGTTGAAGTACCCATTGCCTTGTATTACAGCTGTGCTCTCTTTTTAAGCACATTGTACTTAATGTACATTGAGAGTGCAATGAAACTGCTAGATAGAAATCAATTTGTTTCACAAGTGGCTCCTTTACTCCACATATTAAGTTCTATGATGCAAAAGGCAGTGTGCTGAAGTTTTTAATTATGCTCCTTTGTGGTAATATAGAAGCATCTGCCCTATATATTTTCATTGTTAGACCAGATAATTATTATTCATGCCTGGCTTAGTCTTGATATGAAAAAATAAGTCAGTACTATGAGTGATAGACATGTATATATCCCTCAAACAAGACACTGATTTTGATCCAACTTATAGATTTATAGTAGTCCTATTAAAAGCAATGGAAAAAATAATCATAAATTCAGTGGATCTACTTTAAATATCATTCAATGCATAGTGCTTTGCCTCTTTTTTAAGTGGCAAAATGATACTAAGGAAATCTTGGGAATATTAACATACAGTTATAAGAATTATCAACAAGGGAAAGTGAAGTATAAATATAGTAAGATGAGATAATGCTAAAAATACTTTGCTGAAACAAAAAAAGGTAACTAGTAAAGTAAACATAGGTACATCAAGTTATATATTTTGTAGCTATTTATTCAAATATATCCTTTATTGATTGTTTTCTTTCTAGCTAATAAATCAAGAGCCTATTGATCTCAGGCCTGGACTAACAATGTGTTAAGTGTTTATTTCAAGCCTGCATTGCACTACACAGAGAGTACAAGGCTTATTCCACTTCTGGCCTGCATCTCAAGTGTCCTCGGTATGACAGATTGTATCTCAGGTTTACAGTGGGAAAAATTAATGCACAGCCTACAGCCTATACTCTCTCACCTACTTTTGCTATCCTCAGCGTAATACTGTAACAGCAGCAATGGCTATTGACAACATGGATAGTCTCAGTTCGGAAGTTCTGCTTTCAATGTTAAGGAAGGAACCTAGATGTTTAGCAGAGGAATAATACAATAAAGCATTTCTATTAGATTTAAGCATATTTGATCTATTAATAGATGGGCTAAAGAGAAATGGAGATATTCACCGATGAATATATTCACTTTTCTGATAATTAACTACATTCTTATGCTACACTAGAGAACTAGCACACTGCCAACTGCAGGAAAAACAATGTCCCAGGAGTGTGTTGGAATATCAACATCTCTAAACAATAAAAATCATTTAGAAATTATGTTTAGTTGCAAATACAGTACTCAGAATGATAATCACACAAAGTATTCAATTGAAAGCAAGAAATAAGTTCTTTCATAATGAAATATTGAATCTGAGCAACAATAGAAGTTTTCAAAAGATCCAAGATATACACCCTTTAAATCTACATAGATAAAAAAAATACATAGAAATCAAGGGTCTATAATTAGCTCACAAGCAGGGAGTAGAATGTTAGACATTACAAAAATAATTCTACCTTAATTTTCTACCAGAAAGTACCCAAATCAGAACTGAAATATTTTAAATAACTTGAATTATATGAACTGTACTAATGGAATTGCACTACAAAAAGGTGTTAATACAGGGAAACCACTTGTCTTTTAAACAACTTATTCAGCTACCTTCATGGAAAGGAACCATTAAGAAGAAATATTTCCTATCAAGGGTATTGGATTGACAGTATTCAGCTCAGCTATTGCTGTTGTACACACTGCATCCACAGCAGGCAGCATAAAAGATACCTTTCTAAGCCTTGAGGTACCACCTGGGGCTATTTCTGATGCCTTCAAAGGTCAAAGTTAATAGTGAGAACAGAGCTCTTCTGCCTCTTTGAAATGACACCAGATAGCTGAACAACCATGTCTGATCTGCACATTGCACATAGAAACCAGTGTTCATCCAATCAATTCAATAATCACATATTTATATTGAGGAAATAGCTCATTATACAGCATGGATAAGTGCCCAGGTATAAAATTACACCTAATTCAAAAGCTTGCCTACTCCCGAATGGCAAATAAAATGTCTTAGGGAAACAAAAATTCCACCTTTTTCTCCCTGCCCCTTAACTCAGCCATACAAAGCTAATAATCAAAATGTATGGGTAATTAATTAACAATTAGCCATGTGATTAATCCCTTCCATCTTTGCAGCATGTATCACCGTCTAACAGACCCACCTGCAGGGACAAGTGAAAAAATTTTCTGAGTGGCTAAACAATTAATACCTTCCCTTAGACCAGAGACATTTTTCTAGAGTACTGAAAAATACTTAAATGTCTGACTCAGTGCAAAGTCCCAGGGATTCATTTCATTGCCAAACCTGACAGAGCCAAATGCTCATATTACCTTCACCTACTGTGCATCCGAGAGACCATCCAGTAAGTCCAAAATTTTACTTTTCTCTGTTTTTTAGATAAAGGATCTCAAAGGGCACTGACTCTGCTCACGAAATATACCATTAAACATAATATGTATGTATGTATGTATGTATGTATGTATGTATGTATGTATGTATGTAGTGGTGTGTTTTTGTTTTTTGATGCACCCTGTCGGCCCAAATATGGGAAGAAGAAATCCACCTTTAACTCTGTTAGCAATCAAAAAAAAATTAGCGTATGTATGTATGTATGTATTACATTTATATGACCATCTTTCTCACAAAAAATGACCCTGGATGACATAAAACAATTTATCAAAACAATGAATTTATAAAAAAAAACTATCATTATTAAAATTACAAAACAGTCATTATTAAAATATAAAAACCACATGGCCATGGAGAGAGTGAACATCAGCCACAGTGATGGGGCCTTCTAAAAATTTCATTGGTTCTTTGGGATTTGAGGGACTTCCTGAACATTAACAGAGATGGAGCTAACCTCATTCCTCATAAGTGTTGGCTCATTAGAGTTTCAGCACAGGGGTCCTCAACCCCCGGTCCATGGACCATCACCGGTCTGCAGCATGCCAGAAACCGGGCCACACAAACAAGTGAAAGCACGCCCCCTCCGGTCTGCAGAAAAACCTCTCTCCATGGAACTGATCCCTGATGCCCAAAGGTTGGGGGGCACTGCTTTAGCACAGTACTTGTGTAAAGGAAAGCTGTAATCATCCTCAAAAGGGGGCATTCTATTATTAGACAATATTCAGGATTGTGGCGGGGGGGGGGGAAATCAAGTCTGCTGTCACAATGCGGCTCATATATTTCAAAACCAAAAAATAATGCAGAGAAGAGTGCTCAGTGCCAACTTCTTCAGGTTTCCTACTACAGAGCACAGTCAAAACAGAAGTTATGGTAGGCAAGCATGATTAGTAAATGCTTTGTGCCCTTAAAGAGCAGCAATTACAGGCATGTGAAGAGAAGGAAAAGAAGCCCCTGAGATGCTCTTCGTCGCATGCCTCCCGAGAGGCAGCAGGCCATTAAAATTCCATGATGTAGAATCAAAAACAGCCTGGGAACAGCCAGAAGGCAATACAGCAAATTAATATACCAACCATCTCCAGGGAAAGAGACAAAAAAATGCAGAAAACTCTCTTCACATTGCAAAATAAAATTATACTACTAATGATAACAGCCACCAAACACACCAGACACAGAGTACTTCTAATGATGGGTGTGGAATTCCCAGTGCTGCTTCTAATGCTTTGAGAGAAGTCTCAACACATCACAGACAGAAATCTAGAAAAGAAATCTTGCTATAGTACAATTTATACAGTCTTTTAACTACATCTTCCAAGGAAACCTCAACAAAGCCATCTCCTTGACACTAAAGAGCTCCTCCTTGCACACTTGTGGCCTCATATTCAACAATCTAGCTGGCGGCTCTGTTTAAATGAAGCAGTGGGTTACCAGGTAATCACTATGCTATCAAAATAAACTGAAATCATAAACCATTTGAGAGGCAAAGAAAATATGGGCTATAATACATAGCTCCCTCTCTCCGGGATCTGCTTGACAATAGTACTTTCAGTAATATAACATACCTGTAAAGGCAGACTGACATTTTATTATTTATTTATTTTTTTGCTAATTCTGTAAAGGCAGACAAAACTAGCAAAAAGAAGCAGTAAAAAAAGGGGGAAACAAATTGGTAAAATAGATTGGGATAGACAACTGCAACCAAAACTAACTGCAGTTTCTGAAAATTATTTATTCATGTTTCTTTCATTTAGTAAAAATGGAAAGTCATTTACTTATTTAACCGAAAAAGTATGGTGTTATTTGGGGGGAAACTGAATAATTTGTACTTTTCATTGAAAATTCAGATTCTTATAAGAGAGATTAATGGAAATAGAATATAGTACATGAACAGTGATGAGTAAGATGCAACAAATTTGGAAATTGAAATTTGGTTTAATAGAGTCCCTTAAGAGTTACTAGTGATAACAATATATCTATTTTAATCTTGATCAAGTAAACCAACATTATATTCTTTCCTTTTCTAACATCTGATCTTTAGTCCCTTCAACTAATACCCTAAAACTTGATTTCTTTTCATATTTTCTTTGTCTCTTCTCACAAAATTCCTCTTTTGAAAATCCAATATAAGAAAATTGTCCAGGTCACTCTCTGGATATCTTATTTGTATATTCATTTTAAACATTAAGACATCAGCAAGTTTCTTTTGTATGTCCTGTGTAGTATCTTTTTCTAAGTCATTTTTGTAGTCTGTCATTTTAAATCACTCTCAAATCAGGTAAAAGTTGTTCCTCTTCCATAACATATTTTAAGCATAGTCTATCAATATCTTAAAATTAATTTCTGGATCCCATGTTCAAAAATATCCTTCAATATGTCCAGTGTTAAAATATTTTGCTTCATTCTGCATTTGTAAGTCAAATTTAAGCAACATTCTCGTTTAATTGTAATCTTTAGTTGCTTCTAGTTCCCTCTAGTGTCTAATTTTAAAAGTCTAATCTCATGGGGGGGGGGTTTAAATTAAAAAAAGGCATTTTCTCATGGGAAAGATTCTTATAATTAATTCCCAAATCTTTTTTTTTTGCAAATTTATCTGAACCCTTATTCCATTTGTAACTTTCTAAAATTAAAAAACAAAACATAACCCTAAGCCCATATATTTAAAACATATTTTCCTATGGATTGAAGGAAACTCACTCAGTGCTGAAAAGCTGTCAATCCAAAGGTTCATAATAAGTGAAAATTGGTAATTAACAAGTAATTTCTAAAAATGATTAGAAGAGAAGGTATGTGAAACCAGTGTTTTTTTTAATGGTGCCAACTACATCTTGAGCAAGATGGCTATTTCCCCATCTCACAGATATCTAAACTGGCCAGTGTCTACTGTCTTGCAGTCTCCTCATGAGCAGCAATTTTCTGGAGTAGTTGTGGGTGATCTCAAGCCCTCTCGTTGTCTGAAAAGGAATTATGAAGAGCTGTTCTATTTGCTGGCTTTTCATTCCATATGGTCATCAGCTCCACTTTTCATGGAACTGCTTTTTTTTTGCCATTTCTTCTCTAAAAGTCATACTGCTGGCCTTACAAATTAAAGCAGCTAAACTAATTCTTAAATTGCTTCTTCCCTATTCCGTGTTTTTTTTTTGTAACATCCTGTCAACCAAACAGTTCTTTAAAACTATATGCATTTTGGTCAAATAATCATTATAAATATTTGGTTAGTCCTAATAAAGACACATCCCATGGTATTTTCTCCCCATAGAGTAATGGCTATGAATATGATTGTGTTTCATTATAGTAAGTACTTTTAATGCTTTCTTACACAAAGCTCTTTTAGTTTGGTAAAGGTGTTGTTAATCATATATTTACTTTCAAGATTATTATTCATATTAGACATCCATCCAAGAGTCTCTTTAGAAAGGGTAGAAATGAAATGTTGGACAGATATACTGTATATTTTCAGACTTATATGTTCCAAAACCAACAAAAAAGTATCATTCCATATGATGTAAAAACAAAGCATGTGATTACCTGGCTGAGCAGCGTGCTGGTGAGCATCTTCGGTGTGAAGCATCAGCAAGAACATCCAAGGAATACAGTGGAGATAATGGACTGAACTATAAATTTAAAACAGAGGCATGCCAAGTTATATTATCTGAAAAAAGATGTTTGAATTCAATCCTACACAGCATATGACCATTTATGGTATCATCCAGTATAGGGAATTCTGAGCCAATTCCACATCTACTAATTGTACATCTAACAAATTGAGAACCAGTTGAGAACTAAATGTTTTCCGCCTGTTTTAAGATACATCAGGAATCAGAATGTAGCTTCACAATCCACATCTCCCAGATATCTCCAAAGTATTGGGAAATATTATTTATTTGGATATCAAGCCTATTCTCATTTGCATATGGTTTCTTATGTATCAGTTGACAACCTTGTCATAAACCCTGACAGCTTGAAAACTGTCATAAATGTCTCTTTAATATTACAAACAGAACACTGACATAACAGCAGAAGCTGTTATTAAGAATGACATAAGGAACTGAATGTATTAGCTTTACCAGCAGAATAAATTATTTATCAGAAACAATTAAAAAGGCATACTGTATTATTTATTTATTGTATGTGAGCCATTGGAATACCAAAACTTATTCACAGATAGATTTTCTTCTTGAACACAACAGGCAGTGACTGAAGTTCTTTTAAAAACTGTGAGCTGTTCAAACATTAAGCAAAGCAAGTGGCACAATTCTCAGACTGGAGTCAATAGAGTATCATATTCTTGTATGTTAGAAACTTTTCTCTGTGTATATATTAGAAGCAGTTTACCTTAGATATTTATATCTGACAAGTCAAATTTGCACATTCATTTGGAGAAGGGAAATCATTCAAATATGTAATTCCCAGCTGCCTTGCTTAATTTTTAGATCAACTCAATCTTCAGAAACGTTTTCTGACAAAAGACAATGATGAAAAACATAAACTGCAATAGAACAAGATCATATTACGAACTCCATCTTCATTAGTTCTACAAATTTTAATGTTAACGCCTTTTTCTATCTCCTTCCAAATTAACTCTTGTCAACATTTAACTTCTTTCAAAAAAATCGTTGTTTTAATTTTGAAGACAACATTCTTCAATTATTACAAGATCTTTCTATCCAGGAAGCATAAATAGTAACAAAAACAACTAGAAAACTAAATGTTCAAGCCTAGTATAATTAAATAATCCCATTAAATTAGATTATTTGATCACAGATTCTAATATCCAAACAAATGGTAAAGAGGATATTTCCCGCAGATTCATAAAGGAACTCTCCTTTCCTTTGCATCTGTCTATCTGTCTCTCTGGCTAAAAAGTACAAATTCACCCAAAAAAGGTCTGATAATAGTAGCTGACTTTCAACAGTCCTATGTATGTAAAACAAAAGTGAGTTTAGAAAACAGAGTGGTTGGTGAAATTTTAACGTTATTTAGAGTGAAACAAAACAAAGATTGGTGCTGAACAGGGACAAGCACTGATTTAAAACTGAAAATGAGAGCTGCTTTTCCATTAAAAGATGAAATATGATTTCATTTTACTAATGTAAGTGGTATATGAACTAATCTACACACTCAGAAATTAAACATTTACACAGGCATAATTTAGTTGAGATTTCAATATCAATGGGTTTCAATGTAAACACTATTTATAAAACAATATCATAACTAAAATTCCTGTTTCCCTGCTTCACAATTGTACGTAAGTAGCATTAGCATGACTGAAAATATAGCTATAAAATATGGTAAGAGAATGAAAAATTAGAAGACTGCATAGACCGAAAAGTCATAAATACAGAAGAATTGACAGAAACATGCAAATAACATTTGCAGCTAAAAAGAAAATTGTAGAAAGCTAACATTCTGGGGTTCTATTTGGTACAAGGAGCCATAGTGGTCTGCTGGACCAAAAAATGGGGCTGCCTTACCTCTTGGACCCAGGCTGCAATGTGGAAGAAATTGGAAGCCAGCACTTGGTTCTTTCTAGAGAGATAGAAATCAAATGAGAGAATATACAAAGTAGAGCCAGCTTACCTGGTTGCGATCTCTCATTCCCATTGATGGCAACCAGAAACTAGAGAGAGGTGGTAGGAGAGATGAAGTTGAACGGAGCAGGAGAACAGAGTTGGAAGAAATGAAGAAACAAGGAAAATGTGATGCATAAAGAAGAAAAGAAAAAGATTAAACATCCACATAAGGCAGATTTGCTAAAGTTAATTATAAGACAGTAGGAATTAATCTAAATATGAATGGATGACAAGAAATTCAATCCAATGGAGCACATCCATGGAAACCACATTATCTTTAACGCTCACTCAAGATTACAAATACCCTAATTTCCCGTTAGAAAGAGAAATTTCAGTATATCACCCATCAAACATCTATGATTAGGATGATCTAATCCAGGAAAATATTATTTCAAAAATGCTGAAATTTTTACTACTAGGATATCTTTCTATTATAATTAAGTGGTTATACTATTTATTCAAGCATTGATATCCCTTTTGTTTGTTTGTATTGGGATTTTGTGTATTTTATAAATCCACATTTAAAAAGACTGCAGTATATGATTCAACTAATGGGGAGTAGTCCAACAACCATTGTTAAAGGAGTGGGGAAAAACAGGACACACTGTGTCAATACAGAAGGGCAAATATGTTATCACTTCTTTGGGTGGCAGCTCCCTATTATTTGTTTAAATTTCAAGATTGCCTGATTTCATAACAAGTCTGGGTAGCTTTACCAATTAAAAGGAAACAGCATATATCTAAGAAAAAGAATCCAACTGACTAGAAGACAGAATCAAAAACCAAAGGGACTCAACCACATCTTAATCCAAGGCTTGGAAGGACAATCAGGTCTTTAACAACATGCAGAAAAACAAAAGGATTGGAATAGTGTGGATATCAGGGGGGGGGGATGTCATTGTAGGATAGCAGGAGCTATCATCAAGAAGGCACATTCCTAGGTCCTGCAACATGATACTGCTTAATCAATAGGACCCAAAGTATAGCCTCACTCGCTGATCTCACTGAACAGGCAGGAGACAAGTGTTCTCTTGAGGAACCAGGCCATATGACATGAAGAGGCAATAACCAACATCTTGAATTGCCAACTGACAGTCAGTGCAGCTCAAAAGCAACAGGGATATGTGTGTGGAGCACAACAGACATTACTACATACCATTGCACTGCAATCTGAGTCATTGTAGCTTCTGGGAGGTTTTCAAGGGCAGTCCCATGTACCACACATTACAGTGGCCCAACCAAGAGTAAACAAGGTATCAGTGGCTGTCTGAAGGGCTTCCTGGAAGGAACCTATGTAAAGGCCTTCTTGGCCATAGTTGCCACCTTCTTTTTGAATAGGAATGAGTCCAAACGATCTCAGATTGCACACTAGTATTGCATAAGAAGTATAACCCCGTTAAAAACTAAAAATGGAATGTGACCAGAATTGGGATGGGTGGGTAGTCAAACAAACACAACCATTGTTTGCTGAAATATGCTGAAACAATGTCCTTCAGCAATCCTATAAAGCAATGGTTCTCAACCTTTTTAATGCTGTGACCCCCAACCGGTCGTAAGTCGAAGACTACTCAACTGGTCGTAAGTCGAGGACTACTCAAATGGTGCAGCACCATTTGCAGAATGGGACTTTTGGCGGGCTCAACAGGGCAGAGACAGCCTGGACAATTCCTATTGGCTTTTGAAAGCCAATAGAATTAGACTCTATTCAAGAGAGTCTATTCTATTGGCTTTCAAAAGCCAATAGAATAAAAGGGAGTAGCACAGCTAAGGAAAAGGGAAAAAAATGGCGGACTGCATTGTTTGGCAACCCCCGTGAAATGGTCGTTCGACCCCAAATGGGGTCCCGACCCACAGGTTGAGAACCACTGCTATAAAGTGAAAAACAAATCTAATTCCTTATTATGAGAAGAAGCACCCATAGGATCTGGTGCTTTCACATATGCAGGCAGTGCTATGATACATATATATAAAGAGTTGGAGTTTGCAGTGTGCTACTGCTTTCATCATTTGCACCTCTTCCCCAACACTCCCTATGGATACGTCCAGGGATAAACGTTCATATTGATCTACGACATATATTATAATAAACTTAAACTAATGAATATTTGCTTCCTGCCCAACCCCAAAGTTCTAGATCTTTATCTACTGTGCCCAGATGCTTACTCTTTTTGGCAGGAATCACCAATGATGTGGCTAATCCTCTCAGTACCCATTGCATTCATGATGGTCTCCTGAAACACAAAGTAAGAGGGGGAAAGACTAAGGCTAAAACTACACTGACTCATTTACTGAAACCTAAGTCATCCTCAACTAACTATAAGTAGGATGGGGTAGAAATGCTGTTTCGATCCAAAAAGAGCATGCAAAACTTCTTGGGCAGCAGAAAAAGAGAAGGAGGGAGGGAGAAGTATGTATTAAACAGTACAGTCTTTAGCGGGATAAGAAACCATTTTCAGCTTTTTCGCAATCAGAGCACAGTTTCAAAACGACTTCCACAAAAACGGGGTTAATGATATAAAACAGTTGCCATAAATATGTGGACATTGTAAAAATGAATTAAATTAACCCAATAACATCACTGTTTTCCTCCAATTCATTCCCACGTATACATACCAAACCCCCCCCCCCTTACATACATAGCAAAAATAAGCAAAAATATGATTCCTTTCTGGGGGGAAAACAAAGGCATAAGGCTTGCTTCAACACCACCCAACCTGCAGGGAAGAATAGCAAAACTGCCGCATAATAAAACTAGGCAACAGCAGTAGGAAGAATGAAGGTGGGAGAGTAGAAGAGCTACAAATGTTGTATCTTCCTCTATCAAGCCCTGCAAAACTGGCAAACTCAAGAAACAAGAACCACCTGGTTTCTGGAAAGATCACTGTTGCTAGCAGAGTAATATAATAGAAGCATGAAAGCCTACCAGAGAAATTCTCCTGTTCAAGTTATACCTAGCATAAGTAAAGCAAAGTTGCTTTGTGTCTCTTTCTTAAGTTTCCCCACTTTCCTGAGTTGCAACTCCTCCTTCACTTTCCCAGGGTCTGTTGGACATTCCATCACATTCTCCTCCAAAGAGCTGTGTCAGGTTGGCCAGCAAATTGAGGCTCAAGTCATAATGCATAGTTTTAAGATACGGTTTACTTCCTGAGCCAAAGGAAGTAATCATCTACTACCTTGAACTTCACAAGCCAAGGTATGATAAATTAGGGAAGCAAAACCTAATTTAAAATAATATTCAGCAATTTTTTAGAGTTTTAGGAAGAGGAATAATCATGAGGTACTTCAGAAGAAAACTGCTAGTACCCATATTACTAAGTATATTACATAATATTTTTCAAGCAAGATCTAATACAAAATTGGATGTAACAACAAGCAAGGTTCAAAATGCAAAATGCATTCATCCATGTGTCCTTTTACATATGACATGGCCTTCATTAAATATGATGGTGGTTGGCTCAATTTTATCCTCTCTAGGTTGCTTTTACTTGAATTCTGCTTTGAGAATAGAATCAGACTTGATGGCAAAATGGCCCCTTCTTACTCCATGATTCTATTTAGTTTGAATCTAGACAATCTTATTCCCCAAATCACAAACCAATTCCTTTACAAACCAATTCTAAGTTCATGCTTAGACAGCATGAAATCAACATCTGAGAAATTAAAAGAATATAGTGAAAACAACCTTATAAGTTAACCTTCATGCTCAATTGAATCATTTTACCTATAGTGTATAGAAAGAACCATTTTATTGTAGGGATTAAGTAAGGTACTAGGCAAGAAACTAGATGAACATGAGTTCTATCTTGCTTTAGACCAAAGCCAAATAGGTTACTTTGGGCTAATCACTCTCTCTGTCTTAGGAAGAAGATGACAATGGCAAATGGAAAGTTTTGCCAAGAAAATTGCAGACAAACTACAACAACAATCATCTACCCCACAATCACTGCTTTGTTTAAGTTGGATCAAGGAGCAACACCTTAGTGATATCAAAAAATTAAGGAGATTGAATTGTGGTTAGTATTTAGACAAGACAACACAGCAAATCCCAGAAGTGAAGGTTAACCGGGAAGATGGGGAAAATAGCATTTTAGAATGTCTGAATTGTAATTTACTTCTACTAAGTTTGGTATAAAAATATGCTTATTCTATGTATTTCATATAAGATGAGCCAAATTCTGCCATGTTTGTCTGGCTCCTTATCCTGTGTTTCAAGCTAAGATTCAATCTCAGTAACAATTCAAATATGTTATATTTAACTATTGCTGAAATGTTCTGACAGACTGTAAATCATACATTTTTTCTACCTCTGTTGTTAAACAAAACAGTCATTAAGTGAAAAATCATGATCAGGAATTTCCTTTTCTCAATCCACTTCTCTTTGGAATGTTCCCTCCTGTGCTGGCAAGGCTTGAAACTGACAAGATTAATAATTTTCACACCTTCTGCCTTTGTTTGCTTCCTAATCCCCCCCCCCAAATAATTAGCAAGATAGGAATTAGCTTTTGTATTTACACTCATTGAAGAGGAAGGAAGTAGTCCTTGAGCTAGACCAGACATGTCAAACACAAGGCCTGGGGGCTGGATGCAGCCCGCGAAGTGATTTCATGTGGCCCGCGAAGCCATCCTGGAAACACTGAGGGAACAGCCCCCGCTACCTTGGCCCTGGCCGGCAGCCAATGTACAATTTTGTGGTGGCCATCTTGGCACTTGTCCCGGTGGACCATGCCTTGGCACTTGCCCCGGTCTCACCCCCTTCTGCCAGAGACCCTCAGATCTATCCCACTCCTGCCCAGGCCCCCACAGGTACCCTTGACGCGAATGATGTAGAACTGGCCACGCCCACCCAGTAGGCCACACCCACTCCATCCACACCCACCCAGTAGGCTGCACCCACTCTGGCCACTCCCACCTGGCCCCCCAAGGGCAACCGCAATGCTGATGCGGCCCTCAGTGAAATTGAGTTTGACACCCCTGAGCTAGACCATTCATGCAGCAACTGTTCAAAATTATGATAACAAAACACTAGAGCTGAAAGGGGCCTTGAAGGTCTTCTAGTCCCTCCATGATGCTGAATGAATGGTGATTGCAACCAGCCCTCATAGTGCTGGTGGTACCACACCATTTGTAGCTCTCCCTGCCAGTTTGCTCAGAAAATCAAAGGAAGGTCGCGGGTCATTGGGATAAGACTCTGCCACTCATGAACCTTTCTCCAGCCCCTCTGCAGTCGAGCTACACTGGCCAAATGCATATCCTCACGCTCCCTTCTCAATGTGCACACCTCCACCCTGTTCCTAACTCACCCTATACCCCCTCACACACTCTTTCTGCACTGCACCTCTCGTGCAATCCCTGACACCCTCCCTGACCCATGACTCTCACTCACACCCTCGTCCCATCCCTGATAATCTTCCTTCTAATTTTTATACCTAGTGTTAGAGACAACTTAAACCCTTCCTTCTGTAGTCATGCTGCAATGAAAATCACCCCTCTGTATGTATCAGCCTTAGAAAAAGCATCCATTAGAACATGTTATCAAATAAAGAACTAATATAAATTCTAATGACGTATTTAGCATCATATTATTCCCCAAGGAAATAATGAAAGTTGAAGAGCTTTGTTTGCATTTGCTTTTTTTAAAGAGGATGCACATACATGGCTAGTCACATCCTAACCTTGTTAATCACAATTAGGTACCTTGAGTTAACTGCAGAATTCTCATATGAAAGCTAGTTAGCTTATTCTTAGCTGTATATATTACATAACGTACAGTACCGGATCAAAAACTAGGTCCAAGTCTAAGAAACAAAATTACTTCAACAAATATCTCCTTTAATTGGAACATGATTCCCAGACAATTATCAGCCATTTCTGTTGCAAGGCTATTCTACTTTCAGCAATTTCTTACAACCAACAGCTCCATAAAAGTTATTCTTTCAACTGAATCAGCCTTAAAGGTATTTAATACTTAGAGCAATAGTTCTTAAAACTGGAGTTAATGATTCCCAACGTGGCAGTTTGGGTATATCCTGGAAATAATGTAGCAATTTCTTATTGCTTCTTTGAGTCTAGGATCCACTTTGGGACTGCCACTGCCAAGACTCTTATGTAAAACAACAGAGTTTGCATTTTTCTGGAGGCAATGACATTATTCAAGACCAGGAAAAGAATCAGCTCGGTCAAACCATTTCAGAATCACTGTGCAAGAAATTAAAGTAACATTTAGAAATATACATTTATATACTGTAGCATGTATTGTTGCATATATTCATAGGGGTTCTATATAAAGAAATTCCCTGAAAACTAGGATTTCATTATCAATAAAAATGTGAGTTGGTGTGCAGAAACACAAAACACCATCAAATACAAGGCTCGTGTGAAAGCAACAGCAGGGATGAAAGATGAGCTATTGGTTACAGTAGAGAAATTATTAACCTAAACTGCCGTAATGTTTAAATTTACAGTTTATTACTGTGTAAATTACAAGCGATACTTTGGGTAATTAGCAGCTCGCTGGCAGGGAGCTTTGAATGAAACTCATTATTTATTATTACAATTTAGAAGAGAAGAGAGGAGGGGAAGCAGTGACCTCCACTGCGAATGACATAGATCCCTTTAAGGTGATTAAGATGAATTAAACAAGTAAATATTATTTTTCTCATTAGAGGAATCTTTAAAAAGCCTATGACCCTCGGCTTTTACCAGTGGCCTAATAGTCCTTGCCTAAGACATAATATTCACGATAACTGAAAACATATTTCAATTCTTTAACTTGGTTAAGTAAAGAGAAAGGGCTTGAAAAATTTGTTGAAAATGGAAGGGACATATTATAGAAATACCGTAAATGCCGGCGTACAAGGCGACCCGGCTTATAAGATGACCCCCGTCTTTATAGCCGGGCCGCATTCCTAGAACGTCGTCTTATACGCCGGAAACTACCAGTATTTCCGGCGTATAAGACGACTCGGCATAAAAGACGACCCCCGTCTTTGGCGCCGATTTCAGCGCTCGCGGAAGTCGCCTTATACGCCAGCATTTACGGTAGTCATTCACACATTGAGCTAATTAACTGATGAGTCAAATCTTTTTAACACATAAGATTCTTCTTTCTATGCTCAAATGAAATTCCTAAAATAGCAATAGAACTTAGACTCTAAGTGGTTTACAGAGTCAGCATATTACCCCCCAACAATCTGGTTCCTCATTTTTACCGACGCCGGAAGGATGGAAGGCTGAATCAACCTTGAGCCAGTGAGACTTGAACTGATGAACTGCTGGCAGCCAGCAGTCAGCATAATTAGCTTGCAATACTGCACCCTAACCACTGCACCACCACGGCTCTTAAATAAACAAACTCCACATAGAGTCTAAGTACCATTACATATTCTTGCAAATTAAGCTTCCCCCAAATCTTTCTGCTTTATATGTGGGAAATTGAGATTGCAGAATTTATTTATTTATTTATTTATGAGACTTATATACCGCTTTAAGTGCAAGCACTCTCTAATTCCACCTTCATATACAAAAGGATTCCAAGGATGGTAAGAAATGCTTGGATATACATATTTCATAAAAAAAATGAAATGCCTTGCAAATGACAGGCACAACTCCCAGCATTTAAATCTACTGTAATACAAGAACCATACTAATATGTCAATCAATATTTATTTCCTCCATCCCAGCTGCCAAAACAGCTTTCCTCATTCCAGGAGACCATTCCTTTCTGCTTAGTATCAACATTCTTGCTTATATTTGCAGATTTTTCTAAACTGCACACATTCATATTTAGTCAACCTCCTTTCCATAACAACTTATTATTTTCCGACAGAATCTTATTGCCACTAAAAACAATTTTATCAAGACACATAACTAGAGTTTGTATATGAATACACATTTGAAACTGTTAGAATGAACCTCATGGCACATTTCACCAATGGGTATATTTCTTGACAATATGTGCTAAACAAATTAACATCCCCTATAAAGCAATACCTTGCTAACCAGCCTTCTACGGCCCTTCCTAAGACAGCGTGTAGCAACACTGGGAAGACGGTTCAAACGTGGGTGAAATCCTGAAAAGAAAGAGTACAATGAAGAAACGTGAAAAAACACCAACAGAATCAGCTGGAATAAAGAACAAGAATCTAGATCAACTTCTCATTTCCAGATTCTGTTCTATGGAGCTTACGCATATTAGAAACTAGAGTAACCACAAGACATGAATGCACTGTATATTACAGCATCTTCTTTTCACCAGGGTGTGTTATAGAGTATAGGGTCTATTTCATTGTTAGCCAAGCCAATTCCTTATGGTCAAAGAACTGAAATTAATTCAGGTGCACAAAACAGAATTAGTATGTTAGAACATATCGCTATTATATCAATTCATTTGTATGCAAATTCATATTGGTCTCAGGTATGTACTATGATCCCTAGTTTCTACATTACACTATAATCCAAAAGACTATTTTATTCTCACCAATATATACTCTGAAAGTTGCACATGCCTATTACATATCTAATTTGAGCTACAGTGTATCCACAATATGCAAGAATTCACATAAGAATCTCACCTCTTGTAACAGGCCGAGAGGGCAGAAGGAATGTTGGCTCTGAGATTTTTTCAAGGCTCGAGTCCATTCGTTCCATATCAGACTGGCGGTCAGGTCCCCACTTGGGCAAAAGGTTGGGGACTGTGAATCCTGAGACACATTCGCCCTCATAGAACCAATCACTCTGTTCATCGTCACCTAGGAAGGAAATAAAAAGCTATTCAAATATCTCAATATAGTCTTGCTGCGAATTCCCTCATACACACACACAAAAAAATCAGAACCATTGAGCAGGCGAAAGTTATGAAACTCTGAGTAGGGGACAATTTAAAGGTGGTCACAACATTTTTTTTTAAAAAAAAATCTTACAGACTGGGACAGGCAAAGTAGGAACATTGTCAAAACTAACTCAGGGGTCTGCCAGCTGCAATGTGCCCAGATAACCTGGGGGTAGGTTTCACTCTGCTTCTTTTAATGTAAAAAGGTAACATTGGAGTGCTGTCAATGGCCTTTGCTATTTTGCCTATAGTTGCATTCCAAAAGATTTTGACATCTTTTTTGATATGTCAATTAAAATGTAATTGTTAAAAACAGTACATTTATTTCTTACCCAGACTTGATATCAATGAAATCATTAGATTTATTCATAGAAGATTCACACAAATTCAGTAATCATTTTAAGGGGGCTGGTTTATCACAAAATTTGAGAACCACTCTTCTAAGATAAATTTATTCCTAAATCCATATATGACAACTAAGTCTTAAATTATAATAACAGGTACTGCATCTTAATGTCTCTATAGTTATCTGTAGACATCTCCATCTCCCACTCAAATGAACCTGTAAGTATCCTTACATAGCTCCTTGCCATTCTTAGAAGAGACAACATATTTAATAATATGTCTGTGCCTTTTTAGGCCATTTTAAATCTTTTTACATTATTACAGGAATTATAAAGCTACAACCCCTCAGATATTGAGATGGATGGGATGCAAAAGGGAGACAGCCTTACCACAAGTGATCACCTGAAATCCGCATTATTTTTAAAGGCATAATGCTACAGGGCCACAACACAGCCCAAAAAGCACAGTTTTATACCATCTGGCAGGGATGCAACTGCTGGAGCTGCAAAAGAATTGCAACAAGCAAAAAAAAAAAAAAACCCAAAGAAAAAACCAAACTCCCCAGAGCAATCAGGAATGAATGACTTGTTAGAGCTCAAGAAAGAATCAGAATCCAGCCTTCAAACCCTTTAAATTTTCTTTCTTTTCTTCTCCTATACAGATTGATCACAATTTCCTGTGCCTGATTTATAATTCAGAGCACTAAAATATAGAAGAAATAGGGACATGATCTAGTCTTACCTTGGCGACCTTCATCATTGGTGAAAAGGCCAGTGTCGCTGCTACTGCACACACTGCTGGTTTCACTGGAAAGGGAACACAAAGAATTAAGTATATATGCATTTCATATATACTTTTTTCTAAGAATACATTCTTTACTGCAACAAAAATTCACACAAACTTTCAGCACAACAAATAATACTGGTATTGCTTTATTCATCTCTACAGTTGGATTAACCCTGACATGGGATTAACCAATGAGCAACACTAAAGTGCCCCCCCAAATTGGGTGGGTGAATATAAAATATATGGAATGAAAAATAAGTTAGTAAAATATGCAATAATCTAAAAAGGGGACTAAAGAAAAAAATACATGAGTTAATATCATTGATTTTTACACACAGTTCTTAACAGATGAAAACTAATCAAGGAGAGAAGCAACCTAGAATTAAGGAGAAACTTCCTGACAATTAGAACAATTAACCAGTGGAACAACCTGCCTCCAGAAGCGGTGAATGCTCCAACACTGGAAGTTTTTAAGAAGAAACTGGACAGCCATTTGTCCGAAATGGTATAGGGTTACCTGCCTGAGCAGGGGGTTGGATTAGGTGACCTTCAAGGTCCCTTCCAACTATATTATTATTATTATTATTATTATTATTATTATTATTATTATTATTATTATTATCATCATCATCATCATCATCATCATCCTCATTATTCATTATTATTCATTATTATTATTCATTATTATTATTACTTACGACCAGAACTGGAAATTGAATTTCTATCACTAAAGAATACAGCTGTAAAGTGCAATGTTATGTGACTGTGTTGCTTAGCAGCTTTGCAATCTGTCAAGCTAGTCTGCTCTCTCTCTCTCATACAAAAAGAAATTTCCAAAATATGTTAAGTTGCTGGTAAAATAATTTTGTAGAGAAAAGGGGCATCCTACACACATATTAGCAGAGAAAAACACAGCAGGCAATAGAGAAGGGACAGGAGAATCAGCATGAAAACATCAAGAGTACTTTTCAGGGTGCTATGTGCTTATAGGACATTTGGTGTAATGTTTGTATACTGGCCTCCTGCCCTCAAAGGTTAAAGGTAAAGGTTTCCCTGTCCAGTTTTGTCCGGCTCTAGGGTGCAGTGCTCATCTCTGTTTCTTGGCTGAGGGAAGCCAGTGTTGTCCGAAGACATTTTCCATGGTCATGTGGCCAACATGGAATGCTGTTACCTTCGCACCAAAGTGGTACCTATTTAATCTATTCTCATTTGCATGCTTTCGAACTGGTAGGTGGGCAGAAGTCTCAAAGGCAAGTTTACACAAAATGAAGTTTTAGTTCACCATAGATAATCCCCAGGTTAAGGACAAGTTCCATTCCTAACTCTTTGTTTAACCCAGAACTCAAATGCTTTCAGGGACTGCTGAAATGGACTGCACATTAAAGAAATGCCGCAGTTTGTCGTCTCAAGCAAGAAGAACAAGGTTTGCCATTTTTAGTAATCGGCAGCACATTCTTATCTAAGGGTTGTTCTTAAGTCAGACATTCTTAACCCAGAGACTGCCTTCATTAAAAATATAAGGAACAGCATATTAAAAGGAGAATCAATATTACAGAGAATGATGCCAGACTGGAAGCCTGGGTGAGAAAAGTTTGCCTCATAACAGAATAAAGCTGGTGTCAAAATAGCCTTCAAGTGAGCATTCTAGAGAGACAGCAAAGCTGCTGAACATCCTCTCACTGACTGCAGCTCACCTAATTAAAGTTTTTATGAGGAGACACAGAGCCGTGATGGAGAATATAAGGTTTATATCCTCATATCATCCTATGGGTGGATATAGAAACAGAGCGATCTAAGCTATTTAAATACACTAAAACTTTGGGGCTGCCTTTCAGAACATGTGAAACGGGAAGCCTTTAGTGATTTTGGGGTGTGTGCATACACCTTTGAATCATATTGACTCCTGACCACTGTTTGGACAAATCCCCATGGGTTTCTTGGCAAGATTTTTGAAGCGATTTGCCTTTGCTTTCTTCCTTAGGGCAGAAAGAGAGGGACCAGCCTAGTCACCCGGTTGATTTTGTGCCTAAGGCAGGAGTAGAATCATAGCCTCATAATTTCTAGCCTGGTATCTTAACCACTATACCAAACTATCTCTCTTTAGTAAATTACATCCAGTTAATAACTATAGTTTCCATGAACCCTCCAAGACAGTTACAGTAAGTTACAACAAAGAGTAAGCAATGATTCTCTAAGTTATTCAGCATTGTACAATGAACATATAGAGAACATGTCTAAAAAATAATTGTAAGGAATAATATATTCTTAGTAGAAAATAACAAACATCTATTTATGGATAACAGAAAATGAGCACAACTGATTGGGCATCTACACAGAAGAATGAATGATACGAGGCACATTGTATAAGCAAAGGCAACATTACAGATTTTCTCAACCTCACAATTATTTTGTTACTTTTACTAATTAAACTGCTTCAGCTTAGTGTTTCTTAACCTTGGCAATGTTTACGATGTGTGGACTCCCATAATTCTCCAGCCAATTGAAGCCCACACATCTTAAAGCTATCAAAGTCGAGAAACATTGCTTTAACAGCCAGACATCAGATTATTAACTAGAATAAAGGGACACAAATATTATACAATAATAAATAGGCATTTTTAAAAATAATCATTTATTTGGGAGGAAGGGTAGAAAAGAAAACAATTTGCAGGTTAACATTGTATTTATATTACATGTGAATATCTCCTCCATTTATTTCACTGGAAAGGAAGCTAAATTTTGTTTCTGCAAAAATGATAGCTCTCCCTGGATAACACATGTATCTCAAATCAATAGCCAGCATTCCAAATAATTAGATAATTATTTCTCTAATAATTATTATGCTCTGTGGTCAGCTTCATATTTTGTAAATAAAAACTAAGCAAGAAAATTAGGTGCCCTTGAATTTCTTTAAACAAAAGAATACACTCCAGCATTCCTTCTGTTTATATGCTGTAGTTACAAATACCAGGTTTATCTGACAATTCCTTTAAGATCAGGTATGTATGATTTATATTTACTTATGTGGGATATCTTTGTCAGTGTCATTAAAAAGACACTAAAAGGTCCCATAATAATCAGCTCCTAAAACCATCTATATTTCAGAATTAAATGGTTATGTTCAAAAATAAAAACATAGGATCTCCATTTCATAATTACTGAAAAATACAAATATTAATAAGGATGGGAGACTTAACACATCATTTGCTCAGTATTATTTTCTTGAGAGCAAAGCCAGACAACGCATTACAGATAGTCCTCAACTTACAATGGTTCATTTAGTGACTGTTCAAAGTTACAACAGCACTGAAAAAAGTGACTTATGATCATTTTTCACAATTACAAACACTGCAACATCCCCATAATCATATGATCAAAATTTAGATGCTTGGCAATATTTATGACCTTTGCTATGTCCCAAGGTTCAGTAATCACCTTTTATGACCTTCTGACAAGCTAAGTCAATGGGAAAGCCAGATTCACTTAACAACTGGATTACTAACTTATCAACCGCAGTGATTCACTTAACAACTGTGGCAAGAAATGTCATAAAATGGGTCAAAACTCACTTAACAAATGTCTCACTTAACAACAAAGATTTTGGGCTCCAATGTGATTCTAAGTCAAGGATTATCCGTATATGGCAGCAAACACCAGTAGGTCCTCTAAAACAGAGGTCTCCAACCTTTCTGGGCTCAGGGACTGGAGGGAAGGAGAGCAGCTTCAAAATTGGTGTGTGTGTGCGTGCGCACAAGGGGCCATGCACACTGATGCAGCACTAGTGGTGCCGTGCGCATGCCCAAACGACCACGTAAACCGCCTGGGCTAGCAGCGCATGTGCAAACGGGCTGCAGACACCCGGTCTGCACTAGTATTCCTGCGCATGCAAACAGGGCTGCGGGCCCTAGCGCGAGTGGGGGGAATGCGCGCCCAAGTGTGCATGCACCGGCCAGCCTTTTCTGTGGCTCGCTGGCCAAGAGCCCACAGCCCGGTCCCGAGCCACGGACCATAGGTTGGGGACTCCTGCTCTAAAATTGCCCAAGATCAACTTGCTTCAAACGATAATCATACATTTCTCTTTTGTTAACATCAGGGTTGCACAATTTGGTGGTAGAGTTGGAGTTAGGAGGACCACCTCTAAATTGCATGTGAGGCACAACACTATAAAGAGGAATAAAGTTATATAAAAATGTCTGTAAAATGACAGAGGGACAACAATAAAACAGATTATTATATCATATAATTTCTGCAATTATTTAACTATTAAATGTAAACTCACAGTAATTTTTGTTCTCATTTCTCAATAAAAGATGTGAGCAAAAGAAAATGACAACATGTTCTCTTATAAATTCTACCATACATCTATTTACAAGTCTTAAGTAGATAGGAGGTAGCAGGAGAAGACAGTATTAAGTAATTGGCAGCCAAATCTTAGTGCATAAGGGTCTGTGGTTTTTACATGTATGGTTTATACAGATTTGTTTTGGAAGTATGGTACTACCAAATCCTCAGATAGGATGAAACAAAAATAACAAAGTGACTAAGCCTCATTTCTCACTTCACTCACCCAAAGATCATATAAACTAAGCTCTGTGTTGTTTTTACATTAAATTCTTACTGGAAAGTTCACAGTTCCTTAGTACAGGCCATACAGTCCAGTAAGCACTGATTAATGACCTCCAGTTACAAAGGAGGCCACTTGCCTTAACCAGAAAATAATGAATGCTATTGATCCAACAAGCTACTGCTATAGAGTTATTGATCACCCAATCTTTGGTTAAAACGGTCTTCATTTAGCAATTGCACTGTTGCCAACTCCTGGACCAAAGCATGCCTGTAATTAAATAGTGCAGAAGAGTTAAAGTGAGAGGTGATGGACAGATCTCAGCTCTCCCCCATTCAGTTATTCTTCTGAGCTATTGTTTGTGTCAAGAAGAGTATTGATTTTCTATAAAAATAAGAAAACAAGAGGCACAGAGGGGGGTGCAGAAGGTCAGGCTGGGCTGAAGAAGGAGGGGGAGGCTAAACACTCCATCTCTGTCACTTGCTCTGTCACCCAATAGGCAAACACTCAAACCTCTTTACCCAAGTTCTCAAGTAGCCACTTCAGGCTGCAGCTTATATTCTTCACATCAGAGGGAAATGAAAATAAGCTAAAAAACCCAAGAAACAAGTTAATGGTTTAAGTCTCAGATCTGACACACTATGAAACATATATAAACAGCTTGTTTGGCCCATAGGAATAAAATTAATAGGTAACAAAATATTGTTAATATGAACTAATCTTGGATATACTTTTCCTACTGGTCCCTCCAAAATATAACTGACAGCTTTATAAACTTAATAAATAGACCTGTTTTAGACTCTATGCATGCTTTGCTAAAATACTATAGAACAGTGGTGGCGAACCTATGGCACGGATGCCAGAGGCGGCACTCAGAGCCCTCTCTGTGGGCACACGCACACCATCGCCTCAGTCCTAGGCCTTCAGCTGGGTTTTATAAAACCTTTTCACTTTAGGCCTTGGCCACCTTGTACAAAAAAAAAAAAGGTTCAATCAATCAGTCAATTTCAACTTCTTGCGGGGGGGGGGGGGAGAACTTGCAAAGTTGGAATTGATTGATTGAACTTTTTAATCCCACCCAGTCTGCTCTTACCACCGCAGCCACGCCCACCCAATGAGCCACACCCAGCCAATGGGCCACACCCACCCAATGGCATTCTTCTGAATATAGAAAATAACAACATGTAATTCAGGACTGAATCAATAAATATACTGCCCACCCGCTGCTATCCACTTTATTTAACCTCTTGCTGTCAAAAAAGGAAAGCCTCTGCTTTCCTAACAGTTCCCTGAACAGGAAAGAAAAACAATATATTGTAATCCATGTAGGACAAAAAAAAAAAAAAAATGAAAAGCACATAAGAAGGGAGAAGATGGATAAATGGTATAATCTTAATCAAACTCAAGATCATGAAGGAAAATATAAAGCAGTTCTTGGATTGTTTATTTGTATAAAGGATTAGCAGTGAATTTAAGTTCCTACTCAGGGGTTCTCAACCTTGGCAACTTTAAGACTTGTGGACTTCAACTCCCAGAATTCCTCAGCCAGCAAAGCTGGCTGAGGAATTCTGGAAATTGAAGTCCACAAGTCTTAAAGTTGCCAAGGTTGAGAACCGCTGCTTTATAGGATGTAATGACTAGGAGATTATTTTCTTTACCCAGAAGCTGGTTAAATATAGTACTAGTATGTGTATCCTGAACTACTATTTCTAATACATATTGAAGATCAATTATTAAAATCAATTCAAAGATGCACAACCCGGGTGACAATCTTTTTGTAGAATTCTATCAAATAATTCAAAATTTGTTTTATAAGACATGGAAAACACTTCTACTTCATCAGTATCCTAATGATGCCCTCTTTTTAGTTCTATCAAAAATTCTTCCATTATTCCATAAGCTGTGACTGCTCCAAATGTATAGATTATTAACGTATTTTACTCATATCTGACTACATCATACCATTCACATATTCAATCAAAATGTAATAGTAATAGTAGTAAAGTTGGAAGGGACCTTGGAGGTCATCTAGTCCAACCCCCTGCTCGGGCAGGAAACCCTACACCATTTCGGACAAGTGGCTGTCCAGTCTCTTCTTAAAAACTTCCAGTGTTGGAGCATGTACTGCTTCTGGAGGCAAGCTGTTCCACTGATTAATTGTTCTCACTGTCAGGAAGTTTCTCCTTAGTTCTAGGTTGCTTCTCTCCTTGATTAGTTTCCACCCGTTGCTTCTTGTCCTGCCTTCAGGTGCTTTGGAAAATAGCTTAATTCCCTCTTATTTATGGCAGCCCCTGAGATATTGGAATACTGCTATCATGTCCCCCCTTGTCCTTCTCTTCGTTAAACTAGACATACCCAATTCTCGCAACCGTTCCTTATATGTGTTAGCCTCCAGTCCCCTAATCATCTTTGTTGCTCTTCTCTGTACTCTTTCTAGATTCTCAACATCTTTTTTACATCGTGGTGACCAAAACTGGATGCAGTATTCCAAGTGTGGCCTTACCAAGGCATTGAAGAGTGGTATTAATACTTCACGTGATCTTGATTCTATCCCTCTGTTAATGCAGCCTAGCACTGTGTTGGCCTTTTTGGCAGCTGCAGCACACTGCTGGCTCATATTTAGGTGATTTTCTACTAGGACTCCGAGGTCCCTCTCACAGTTACTACTATTGAGCATGGTGCCACCTATGCTGTACTTGTGCATTTGGTTTTTCTTGCCTAAATGTAGAACCTTGCTTTTTCACCATTGAATTTCATTTTGTTAGTTAGTGCCCAGTGTTCAAGTCTGTCCAGATCCTTCTGTATCTGAAGCCTGTCTTCTGGAGTGTTGGCTATTCCTGCCAGCTTGGTGTCGTCTGCAAATTTGATGAGTTCCCAATCTATCCCTTCATCCAAATCATTGATGAAGATGTTGAAGAGTACTGGGCCCAGAACAGAGCCCTGGGGCACCCCACTACACACTTCCCTCCATATAGATGCAGTTCCATTGAGGACCACTCGCTGAGTACGGCCGGTCAGCCAGCTACGGATCCATCTGGTGGTGGTTCTGTCTACCCCACATTTTTCTATCAAAGTTATTCCAGAACCTACAATATCTTCCAAGACCTTAGGAGCGAACGACATAATGGAAGAACCAACAGGGCCTCTTCTTCTAAACAACTTTGCTTCATTCTAAGCCTCAATCAATTGCTCACATCTTTTATAACTGATGATAAGAAACTGCTCAATTAAAAACAGCACATTGTTGGAGATGAATGGTTTAAGGCAGGGGTAGGCAACCTTGGCTGTTTTATGACTCGTGGACTCCCAGAATTCCTGAGCCAGCCATGCTGAGGGGAAAGGAAGAGATTTCCAAGCTGAGCCATGCTGGCTCAGGAATTCTGGGAGTTGAAGTCCACGAGTCATAAAAGAGCCAAGGCTGCCTACCCCTGGTTTAAGGGAATGCATGCAGTACCATTTCTTCTCTCAATCTTCCTGCAAGTGAAGAAAGGCCAACAATTACATGAACCTTGACTTAATATTACAAGTTGCTAAACTCCATCTAGAACCTATTATTCAGAACCAAAAGCAATTCATCTTATAAGAAGATGCAAGTTATACGCCTAGAGCACTGGTGGCGAACTTATGGCACGTGTGCCAGAGGTGGCACTCAGAGCCCTCTCTGTGGGCACGCATGCCATGCCCCGGAAATGGCAACCATCCCTCTTCAACCAGCCGCCTGCTAATTGGCCAAGGTCCCACATGGCCGGATGCATCCCAGCACCCATGCACTCGCTGGCCTGTGTGCAGGGGCCGATGGTGTCAGGCAGCACCCGCCCCGGCCCCTGCCTCACCTTTCCCTGTGACAATGGCACCCCCGCCCTGCCTTGCCTTGCCTCGCCTCACCCCGCAGGACGAGCCTCCTGCCCACCACCCCACCTGCCAGAGACCCCCTGGATCTCCCCCAACCCTGCCCAGCCCCCACAGATGTCCCTCCCCACGAGCAACATCGAGGTGATCACACCCACCTCGACCACTCCCACCCAATCTGCCATGACCACCACACCCATGCCCATCCAGTGAGCCATGCCCACCTGGCACCTGGCAATAATTAAGTGGGTTTTGGGTTGCAGTTTGGGCACTCGATCTCTAAAAGTTTCGCCAACACTGGCCTAGAGCAATGGAGAGCCCTATATATTCTCATTCAACATCTTGAATTAGACTGTGGTGCTTAATTACAACTGATACTTATCTCACAAAAATCAAAATAGCAGCATTCCTCTTGGAACATCTCCATTTCAACAACAACAAATCACTTTTTAGAAAATAATGTTTAAAATAATGCTGACTAAAGACTAAACACACTTTATTTTCTTCTTAACAAACGATGGATATTGGTCTCACACAAAATACTGGTCCACACAAGTTTGCCCTACAGAACAGTTTTCCATAAATTATGTGAGAAGACTGGGCTAAAGTAGTCTAATGAAAAGGGGAACTACCTAAAGTAATGAGCCATTACTTGCAAAGAAACAAAGTAAAATATTAGAGCCTCGGATAAAAGAAGAAAGGCCTAGACATCTCACCATTCTGACATGTTTTCATCAGAACCCTGTTTCTGTTCATCTGCTTCACACTCCATCCTTTCATTCCTTCCCCCTTTGCTAAGGAAGGCTCTTGTCTCTGCTGACTCACAGAGTCCCCGGCCAGTTGATGTCCAGGGAGCATTCTCCTTCCAACGGGAAAGGCGCTGCTTTTTAGCCGATTTGAATCTGCAACCCTTCTCGTATGTCCATTCCGATACTCGGAGTTTCTGCTGAAGGCTAGCTGCCACTTCTGATGTCACACGCTTAACTTTTCGACGGCGCCTCAAGGGTCGACAAGGCGCATTCTCAGTGAAAGAGTCTGATTCATGCCATGAGTGTTGCTTATTCTTGAGAGCTGTGCTGAGAGTTGGATGTTTGGCTACTGCCATGTCATCAGAGTCACTAAAGTAAGCAGTTAGCACTTCCCGGCAGTCTTCCGCAACCTCTTCTAGGCTGGATTCTGAGGCCCCACTATAGCAGCAAGCATGTTCCACTTGGTGTGTAAGGTCTGAACGCCGCTTGCGTCCTCGTCTCTTACGAAGCTGCCGACGCTGCTGCCTTGGGCTCAGAGTCATTTCTTCCCATAATTCATCCAGCTTGTTCTGTTCTGAGGTCTGCTCAAGAGCTGAGGCCAAATCATGTACTAGTTCATCCATCAGCAGTGTCTACCAAAATAAAAGTACAAAATTAAATCAGTCATGTTGCATGTCATCACAATGATAGAATTTATTTCCAAGTGACGTAATATATTTTCAAAAAATTACTTTGGGTTAGCTTTACTTTTTAAAGAATAAAAAGAAGATATAGTTAATCTATTGTGTTACTATTTACAGTACTATCTTAATAGTTAATACAGGTGTCAACCTGGTCTCTGTACCATATATTTCAATGACTTCTTTTTACAGAGAAAAGAAACTTAAAGAAAAACAAGTGCTGAACCTAAAGATAACTCTTAAGGTCTTCTGCTTAGTCTTTTTGAGATGATGGAGGACTGTGAGAATGGCTCTAAAACCCACTGCAGACTAATAACCCAAACTCTGTATATTCCATTTCTGCAGAAAGTCACTTAGATGTATTATATACAACAGTAATACCTATCTGTTTATAAGTATCTCTCAGGCTAAACTATTTTATAGAATTAAAGAAGATAGAAACCCTATGAATCAGCCTAAAATCCATGATATAATCATGGGGAGAAAACAACAATAATAGAAGGGACCACGTGTAAAACAAGCAATATTGATAAAGGAAATGAGTTAGCAAAATTATGACAAGGGGAGAATGCATAACTTAAGAATATAACAGCATCTACTTTCTCTAAGACCCATTGCCTTGACAAATCGAGAGAGAATAGTTATAAGGAAGTGGCATTTTATTTCCTTTCTATAATCAAACTATTACCAAACTGGTGTCCGAATTACTGATAGCTACCTTATAAAAAGATCGTCGCTGTGATAAAAGCGACTCTCCCAATTCTATTGACTGGACCACCAAAAACTGCTGGAAAACAAGCAACCTTGCCCGAAATTGGTTCTAGATAGTGCAGACAGCACCGAGAGGGTAAACAAACGGTGATCTAGTCCACCCGCCCACCATCTCCTCTCCAAACAGACTGGGGGAGGCTGGGTCATCACCTGCTGCTGGAGAGCAATAGCCGCAAGCATCGAGCTGTCTTCTGCCACCGGACGACAGGGATCTTTCGTCCGATCCAGCGGGGCGCCTGCTCTATTCCGCCCCCGGCTCTCTCACCCAAATCTTCCCCCCTCCCCGCGCCACCGCTGTTTTCCCTGAGCTGCCGACCCTCCCAAAACACGGGTGCCCCCCCGCTCCCCTGGAGCGCGTAAGGCCTCCTTGACCCACCCCGGCAGTTCCCCCTTTCGTCTCCGCGGCTAGGCCACCGACGCTCGGCATCGGACGCTCCACCTTCGCGCATCGGCTAACTCACTTGGCTCCCGCAACAACCTCCCCAACTCCGTCTCCACAACCACCTCTCTAGGCCTTCCCGGCTCGGCACGGAGTCAGCTTCAAAAAACCGCTTCCGGTCCTCGGAGGGGGGAGGCATTTCCCCTTCTTCCGGAAACATTGACGTCACTCTTCGCCTCGGTGCCAGCGGCCGGGCGGGGCGCTCGGGACGGGGCGAGGCTTGGCGAGGGACCGCTGCTCTGCAGCCCTTTGGCGACTTTTCCCTGTTGGCGGAGGACTCTCGCTTGTTCACTCGGTCTCCGCTTCTCGGGTTTAAATTCACCGCGGGGAACTCGTGCCTGCTTTTGTCAAAGAAAAGTCTATATGAATCCAGCGGGATTTTTACATTTGAGAAACGGCGATTCTTAATAAGAGAGCAAAACTCGGAGACGCCATGTGAAAGCCGAGGGAGCCTGGCAGTCGCGTCCGGAAAGGGAGCGCTTTCTCTTCTCCAGAAAGGCGTCTTCGTGATCTCCAAGAAGGGCGTCCGTGTAAACAACTCGCGCGCCACAATCATTTCTGTCCGGTTGTGTTAAAACACACGAGCGCCCCTTTCACAGTTCTTGAAGTGTCACGTGTATGTGTGCTGAAGTGGCCATGCCTCAACCTGAGGGGAGTTGCAGGCACCAAAAGCCCCTGGTCTTCTTGTTTTGTTTCTGCCGCAGCAGACGCAATGCCAGCCCCTTTCTAGATACAGAGCAATCTCATATTTAAGACACTAACCAGACCAACTTGGCTTAAGTAGGTGCTGTATCTCCCCTCCTCCCGCCCCTTAAGTGATGATGGCTATTTACTCCTGAGTTGTTTTACTGTATCCCACTGTAAACACCTTAAGAATAGGCAATAGTAAATCGTTTACCTAAGACTGCCAAAAAAAAAAAAAGCATCTGGCCTTGAAGCCTTCAGGTATCCAATCATTTTTGAAGTATTTATTTTTTACCTATCACAGAGGGATCATTCTCCAGTGGAATATATTCATATGTGATTCTCTTTTTTAGATAGGACTTAAGTATACAACTATACTGGGTTTTTTTTAAAGTAACTCACATTTTCATTTACTATGCACACATTTCATTTGTATTTTTTTCTCCAATCAGAAAAAAAGGTCCTTTCAAATAGATTGCTGCCTCCTTAAACCATAAACGAAGCTAGTGTGATACTAGCTAAATGACTAGGTTAGGGACAATTCAAATCCCTTCATGAAATTCACAGTTTGACCTAAACTAGTTCTCAGTCTTTTTGCCACTCTCTTGATAAATTGAAATTTGAAATGTTGATTTTATCACACATAAATCCTAGGAGTCTCTGAATTAATCCAGAATACAACTAGGAGTACCCCTCTAAACATGGTTTTGGAAAACTAAAGCATTTATTTGCATACATTCTCAGTGCTCTGTTTTATAAAATGTTAACGATAAGATCTCACAAGTTTTTAATATTCAGAGATAAATCCTGAATTTATCAATTTCAGTTGAAAATGTCTGACATCTTGCAGATTCTTGGTTTTGGATGACCTTAGCATTGTGTAAGAACCTGAGATTCTTGAGGATAAGAATGCCAAAACACAAAATGTTGTAGTTTCACAATGTTTAACTATTATGATTAATGATTATGGTCTGGTGTCTGAAAAAATTACCATGTTCTGTCCTCTCCATTTTAGTCAGCACATGTTTAAGTTTCTACGGGGTTATTTACAAAGTTGCATTAACATTTTTGTCCATAATTAAGTGTTCAGACTCCCTGAACTACTAGCCATGTTCCCATGAAATATTTATTCAATTATTTTTACTATGATTCACTCATTCTGGGTCTGAGCTTGCACAAAACTATGAATTAGGCTAAAACATTGTAAAATAAAATGCAGTTGAATAATCATGACTCATTCTGTCATACAAATACAGCCACCATAAGATAGGACACAGTTTGCTACTTTTAATTCTTAACAAGGTTTAATTAGTCGCCTTATTGGTGAGATGGACTGCATATAAATTAAATAAATAAAATCAGCCCATTATTTCCTAAATCATCAATCTGTGTCACATTTCTTTGGAGTATTCAGGTATCTTCTAAAATAATTCATTTGTTATTTGTTGACATCTAAATGAGTATATTTTTTCTGAAGATTAAGGTTATAAAATGGCGATGGGAAAAAAATGCCAATTCAGTGGCCATTCCTAAAGAGTCCAAGGCATTGTTGGACAAAGGAGTTATAAAGATTTGTAGTAATGGTAAAGGACAACGGAACTCTACCATTCGCATAAAGACTGGCTATTCACATTTTAGTACTAATTACAATACACTAATTAAGCTTGAGCACTTAGTGCTGTGCATCCTGAGCCTTTGGAATATCTACTGTTGTCAAAGGGGGCTCTCAATAGCTGAAGGGAGAACATCTTGCTTGGTATGTTATGCTTTATATTCCTGTTAAAATCTGCCTGCTAAAGTTATTAATAAAGCTTACATTCTCCTGATTCACTGGTTTCATTGTCTCTGAATCCTCAAAGAATCAATTGTCTGGTACCTGGTCACTGCCTGACTCTTGACAAAACATTACTATGTTCCTAAACTTCATATCACCTACCTGATTTATTGTTGTGTACATTCACTTGCTTCAGGATATGAACTTATTTATAAAATTACCAGTGAGAAGTTCACTAATCTCCAGCCTTTATATAAATTATATAAATTAATTATATAAATTAAGTAACATTTCTCCATATTGAAATTATGATTCACTTAAAATTTATATTTTCTATTGGAATTTACCTTTCATTCTTGGCAAGTTACTCATGAAAGTTGTTGCCTTCTTTATCATGACTAAGATTCATGTGACTTATACAATATGTGTTGGGTTTTTTTGAGTCACTATTCTGTGCATGTGTTTGTTTTTATCTTGCACTCACAAGGTTTTGAAAGAATTCTCTCTTACATCAGTAGGGCTAATTTTGTCTATATTGAATATGAGACTACCAGGAAGGAAATAGTTAAATTTAAAAAAGCATGTTCAGAAAATCTCCATTTAGGTATGTGTTATTAATCTGGGATTGCACGTATTATTTTGTTTAATATTTTTATATACTGCTAGCCATTCAGAATTTTTGTAATGCATTGGGCAGTCATATAATTCCACTAATTAGTAAATATAAATAAGGCAATGGCTTTCAGAAAATCCAATTATATCCAATGTGCATACAAGGAAACTGCATTTAGCCACCAGTCTTTCCTCCTACTTCAGGCTGTTTGCCTAATTTTAATTGCTTGAAGTGACACATGAAATCATGCATATATCATTAATGAATCAAGTTAATTGTAAAATAGAGAATTTGTAAAAGTATAAAATTACTCCTAAATAAAGATCTTTAGTGATATCTTTGGGCTGTGAAATACTAACTTATAATTGAAATTTGAAGGGGTTTTTTTTCAAAGCTCATTTTTCAGCATATTAAGTACATTTGATTGAATGCAGTGATAGCACTTCCACCTCCTGCTACAATTTCATGATTAATATCTCACTCAGTACCATAGCTTATGTACGAACTTCTGTTTTCATTATAAAGATAAAGTTTTCCCCTGCTAGTTGTGTTCAACTCTAGGAGGCAGTGCTTATCATATTTGATAAGCACTTATTCACAACCAAAGAGCCAGTGTTGTCTGAAGATGCTTTCATGGTCATGTGGCTGGCCTGACTATACATGGAAGGTGCCCAGAATGCTGTTACCTTCCCACCAAAGTGTACCCATTTATCTACTTGCATTAACATGCTTTTGAACTGCTAAGTTAGTAGGAGCTGGGTCAAGTAAAGGAAGCTCACTCCATCGTGCAGTACTTGGGTCATTAATTGCCAAACTGCTTGGCTGCCACACCCCCATTATATAATTATACATGTATTTTTTTTCTGCTCTTATGTCTAGCTATGCTTTCTCCTTGTGCAACAATACTTTCAACTCTCTCAATTCCTCTCTTATTTATAAACTTATTTGATCTAATCCATTCAGATTGGAAATGAAATGTCAAATAAAATGAGTTTTGCATCCTCTTCTGCTTTATTTACTACAGTTCAACATTCTAGTCACCAAAAGTCATAACAATGTGATGGGCAGACATACAAATTGAAATATTTTTTTTAAAAAAATCTGCTTTAGCATTCTTCTTTATGACTCTTCTGTTAACTTTTAATCCATGTAACAGTATAAAGCAAAATCAGTTCATGCTAAGAATAGAGGGTCGTTAACAATATATGAGAGGCAGTGCCTCAATCTTTTTTTACATGTTAAATATTAATATACAGCATTTCATTCATCTATTAATTTGGGAGTTTTAGTCAAAGAAAATAATCAGATTGGCTTAATAAGATTTGTTTATAAATCCACACTAGGGTTTCAGGCCTGTATTTTTATTAGCTTCTTACTCTTAGTATACTGTATATATTCCATTGGTCTTCTGGCTTGGCTTCACATGCTAATATATAATGTGTCCAAGTTTACACAAAGAGATTGCCTGTTTCATAAGAACAGAAATTCATATAGGAATAGATACTGGTTTAGTGCAGAGAAGCAAATGCCTAGAGGTTGTTTTAATAGTTGCATAACGTTTCAATCAGAGATGTTGTTTCAATATTTCAAATTGTATTCTTCAACAGTGCATTAGATAAATATGAAATGATGCATTATTAAACTTTCCACAAAGTAATGTATTTGAAAATGAAGTTAGAATTCAGGAAAAATCCAAACAGTAGCATTGCTCTTTGCATTTAGAAAATAATGAATTTTCATTATTAATATTTAATTCTTTAAACATAATTCAGTTCTGTCTTTCTGACCCGGAAAGATATCTTCAAAATAGCTACTGGCACACCCAATTATTGTGGTGATGGTTGTTTTTGTTATATTTCATCTTTCTGCAAAAAAGGCACTTGTGGGTTACAAACATTTTTTAGAAAAAGAAATCAGAACAGTTAACATCACCATGACTGGATAACAGAAACTCCTTAAAGAAATAAAAAGCATTAAATATATATTTAGTTGTTCATA